CCTTGTGCGAGTGCGGTGCGGTCAGGTCAGTGCCGGGTCATTAGCGCGGAAACGGTGCTGGAACGTCTGACCACCGAGGTCGGCGCCCCAGGGCGGAGCATGTCAGCGCTCCGTGGTCCAGGCCGAACACGTTCTCCGCTGCTCTGGACAGTGATCAGCCGTGTAGTGGTCAGCGGAGCACGGGAGGACAGCGGAGCACCGGAGGACTTCAGGTGACGCTGTTTCGTTAACGATGACGCCCGTTCAGAGGCGTCCGTTCTGATTGTGATCGCTGCGAATCTCTGAGAGGAAAAAAACGACAGCTGGCGATCGAAACGGAGCACCACACACGCGCAGCCGTCCACACTGAGGGGGATCGCTGTGCTGCTTTTTCACGCGCTTAATTTATCCGAATGCGCACTCTGCCATTTGCTCGGGCTTGTCGTTGAAAAACGCCACTGCGGCGCTGTGAGTGCTTCCGTCGTGAGTCAGCCAATCATCGGGGCCATAAACGTCACCGAGCGGGGAAACTTTTTGTCGGCAGCAGATGGATGAAAAGTGGCACGCACATGCGAGTGGTAATGCATTTCGCGATGGGATGTCAACTGCTACCCTCACGCCATATGTCGCAATACATTTTTTTTTACTCTCATGCTTGTGATCGTTCTATATAAACCAAGTTTTTCGCAGTACTCGAACTGAGACCATCGCGTCTCATCTCCTCTGTGTGGATCCTAAGCGATGTGTTTTTCCCGGCGGCTCCCTCCCGTTGACGGTCATCGGCCAGGACTGACCGGTCATGGACACCAATTAGCGCGGCCCCGACCCACGTGTCCCGTGGCGACACGTGGCGCTGGACGCGGCTGCCCGTGCCCGCGGGACGCCGCAGGGATGCGCGCGGCGGCGACTGCGCGCCATTACCGCAATGAGCAGGGGTCGCCCCCGGAGCCCGTCGCGCCTGAGCGGGCACCGCCCTCGGCACCGTGTGTGTGTTATTATTGGAGGTAGTGTAGTGTAGTGGTTGTTGGAGTTATTGGAGCTTTACGACGCACTCAAGTGCTGAGGCTCTATGGCGTCGCCTTCCTCTCTCACCCTGGCAGGAAGGGCGGGCACCGCGGGAATCGAACCCCGTACCTCTGGTTTCCCAGACGCGTTAACCACTACACTACCGGCACCCACCTCGTCACCGTCCCACCGTCCGCCGCGCCGCCTGTCGCCGGAGGTGGCGATCCGACGTCGGCTCGGGCCCGGCGGTGGGTCCGGGTGGGCGGTGGGCCCGGTCCTGGGGAGAAGTTGTAACCGGGACAGAGTATACCGACAGCCGGACTCGGCAGCTGCTGTTGGGTCCGGGGGAGGGTCGGCTGCGGGGCTCGGCAAGTGTCCGCTGACGACAGGCGGGACACAGGCGGGACACTGGCGGGACACTGGCGGGACACTGGCAGGACACTGGAGCTCGCTTAGCCGGCGCAATCTGGCCGACTGGGACGAATGAAAAGCGATGGCTCAGCTCCCTAAATGTATTAAACGGGTGATAAGATTCATGCATCGCCCGTTAATCACCTGCTGTTGAAAGCTAGGGGCTTGAGTGGCCTCTTTTGACGAGCGCGAAACTAGGAGATGACCGTTAAGCGCTCGTAATCGGTCGCTCACTGCGATGACAGGTTTATTTCGCTCAGCGTCAAATGTATGTACGATGGAATGTATTTAATCCTCCTGCCTTCTTCGCGTCACATCGGTTGATTTTTTTTAGAAACGAGGGAAAATTCGGGGGCTTGATAGCTTGGCACACTGCAACGGAAGTCAGCTGGAATTTGAGCTACAAGGTGTGTGTTTTCTGGTGGCACTTATTCCCATCAGGCGCTGAAGTCCAAGTGCGCACTCATGCACGCGTATTTTATGAACTGTGATCTGTCAAGTGTTGAAGTCGTCCGACTTATTAACTTGTTGTGTGTTCCTGTGGAGGCAAAACGTCTGGTGCAGTTGTGTGAAACGCGGCTTGTGACAGTTGACATTGTTGCTAGTGTGTCTTGTGGATCTGATGCATTCCTTTTGTTCCTTTCAGGGACCGAGTCATGCGTATTAACCTGAGTGACATCAGCCAAACGGATTGTCAGGTACGGCCCAAACCACTTCTCAGCACGAACACGGCTCGGGAACCGAATTCGGCTTGTCATCTGCCACAGGGTACACTCGGCCTGACCTCTGCCACGGGGTACACTCGGCCTGACCTCTGCCACAGGGTACACTCGGCCTGACCTCGGTACACTCGGCCTGACCTCGGTACACTCGGCCTGACCTCTGCCACAGGGTACACTCGGCCTGACCTCTGCCACAGGGTACACTCGGCCTGACCTCGGTACACTCGGCCTGACCTCTGCCACAGGGTACACTCGGCCTGACCTCTGCTACAGGGTACACTCGGCCTGACCTCTGCCACAGGGTACACTCGGCCTGACCTCTGCCACAGGGTACACTCGGTCTGACCTCTGCCACAGGGTACACTCGGCCTGATCTCTGCCACAGGGTACACTCGGCCTGACTTCTGCCACAGGGTACACTCGGCCTGGCACTCCACCACAGGGTACACTCGGCCTGACCTCTGCCACAGGGTACACTCGCCCTGACCTCTGCCACAGGGTACACTCGGCCTGATCTCTGCCACAGGGTACACTCGGCCTGATCTCTGCCACAGGGTACACTCGGCCTGACTTCTGCCACAGGGTACACTCGGCCTGGCCCTCCACCACAGGGTACACTCGGCCTGACCTCTGCCACAGGGTACACTCGGCCTGACCTCTGCCACAGGCTATACGACAGCTCATCATCAGCTTCCTGGACCGTGCTGACCATCCGTGGGTTGCGGTTAGAAACGCTCGAGCGTAATCTGTTTCCAAGTACGGCTGAGGTTCACACAGATACCCTTCGTCGTCAGGAGTGAGCGCAGGCAGACCATGGTCGCACTACTGATGACCCTGACATCGGTCTTTTAATCTTACATTAATTCGTCAAATTTTAGTAAGCGCACTCCCCGCTGTTTATCGCGAACAAGTCTCTGATGAACGTACCCGTGTCCCCATGTGTGTGCTCTCCTGTCTGTCCACTGGGGGTTTGTCTCTCTATCCGTCTGCTTGCCCGTGCGCCGTCTCAGGCGTCGTTTATCTGTGCCTGTGCTCCTTCGTGTCTGCCTGTCGCGGGTCGGCTACACCACATCGACGTCGGCGTTATTTTATGGCGCCCGCCTCAGCCACGCACGAACGAAACCCCCGTAAAAAAACGCGATGGCCATGGCAACCGCCGTGAAAACATCGTTACCGGCAATGCGACGGGTCTGATTGAATCGGCGTCCGGGCTTGCGTGCAGCACGAACCGCGACCGACGTCGATCGGGTAATCGGCCCGGGCAGGTCATCACGCACCCGCCGACCGACCGACCGACCTACCGACCGGCCGACCGGCCGACCGACGCCGACGGGCGACGGGCCGACGGACCGACGGACCGACCGACCGACCGACCGACCGACCGACCGACCGACCAGACCGACCGACCGACTGGCCGGCCGACCGGCCCGACCGACTCCTACGGGCGACGGGCCGACGGGCGACGGACCGACGGACCGACGGACCGACGGACCGACGGACCGACGGACCGACGGGTGACAGACTGGTGGACCGATGGGCTACGGAGCAACGGGCCGATGGACCGATGGGCCGATGGACCGCCGGACCGATGGGTGACGGACTGGTGGACCGAGGGCCACGGAGCGCTGGACCGATGGGCCGATGGACCGCCGGACCGATGGGTGACGGACTGGTGGGCCGATGGGCCGACGGAGCGATGGACCGACTGACTGGTGGACCGATGTGCCGACGGAGCGATGGACGGACGAACCGACGGGTGACGGACTGATGGGCCGATGGGCAGACGAACAGACGAGCATGCTAACAGCCGGACCGATGGGTGACGGACCGATGGACCGACGAACCAACGGGCCGATGGACCGACGGACCGATGGACCGATAGATCAATGGACCGATGGACCAATGGACCAACGGACCAATGGGCCAACGGACCAATGGGTTGATGGGCCGACGGACCGACGGACCGACGGACCGACGGACCGACGGACCGACGGACCGACGGACCGTCGGACCGACGGACCGATGGAGAGACCGACAGGTGGCGGCGTTGGATGCGGTGGTAACGGTCGGACCGGGGCTACGCCAGGACGGTGACTGCCTGTTCCGGTGCCGGTCCTCCCGGTCCTCGGTCCCGCAGCGGTCGGGACGGCTGCGTGCGCTACGCGCGTCCGTCAAAGGCACGGTGTGGAACTGGCCGTGTCAGGGAAGCATTGGTGATGTTGGGACAGCGCTCAGTCGAAGCCATGCTATGCCAGGTGTTTTGGAGAGCGGCGTTCATTTGCAGGGAATGTAGAGGGGGAGGGATACCGGGTTGGAATTCACTTCGCTTCAGAGCTTTGAGTCGAACAGAGTTGTGTTAATTTGCAGGGGTGTAGAGGGGGAGGCATACCGAGTTGGAATTCACTTCGCTTCAGAGCTTCGAGTTGAATTCCACTGTTGGGGATCCTGACGTCAAGCGTCCCGGTGCATGCCGTGGGAATTGCTGCCTTTGACATGCGGCTGCCATGCTGCGCGGCGGCGTGGAAGTTGAAAAGTACGGGCGCGGTCGATGGCTGAAAGCGGCCCTACATTATTTACGGCGCTGAACTTTGTCCGACTGCTTAGTGCAGCGGTGTGGATGGGCGCTGACTCGGCTGTCGCGATGTCGGACCGCGCCCGTCACATGGCATACATTTCTGCGGCCGACAGATGGCGTGTTATCGGTCCGCTCCGCCTGTTATGAGCGCGGGGAGCCCCGGTGACCTATAGCGTTGTCCTGCCTCGTCGCTGATCGATCACCACTAGGACTAATGGATACGTGGATCACGCGCGTGCCCTGGTGTTCGGTGCTGCGATATCCATTGTGCGTGTGCTGATCTGGACTGTGCTGGCTGGTTTCAGAGAAACTCTCTGCTGCTCGAATCCACCAATAGCAAAGAATGCACCTCCAAGGGGAAGAATCAGGTGAGTGAATGACTGCTGAATTGTTGGTTTCCATGGGGAGGGGAGGGGGTACCAGCTTATTCTCCGGTAGTTATCCACATTTTTCCCATGTCTTGAGTATCGGGTACCTTGCTTAATGTGTCAAAGATCGCTTACATTATTTGGAAGAACAAGTAACGTGCCAGAAACGCCATGTTCACGGTAGTTCATGAGGTCGATGCTGGCTGACAGCTGCTGGCTGGTGAGATAGTGGTGAACATAAGCTCAGGTTTTTAGTGTGTCCTTGACTGTGGCCAGGGCACTGATGTATTCTGTTGTTCCTCCCCATTTAGGCAATATTTAAAAAGACACCTGGTGCGGAGTGGGACGAGCGAGGTGATAACAGACGGAGACTCGCCAACTATCGCCATGCGCATGCTGCCAAACACTGAGGCAACGAAACCAGGCTGTTGGGCACCTGCATCAGTGGGTTTCATCAATGTTTTAGATAGAATCCCATTTATGATATTTAGCAGGCAGAGGCTCACTGATAAAGCGTTCGTGAGCAATTTTCAGAAATCACATTGCTTGGAGCTGAATGACCGGGAGTATGGCCAGGCTTGGGCATATATGACATTGGATCTGTCAGTCCCTGTCCGCGAAATCAACGCACTTGTAATGTTTTGCGGTCGTGATGACTGCCACCTAAGCGTTGCAAAAACTGCAAGCATGTACAGCGGATAGTGATGACAGTGAAGTACACCACACGCCGGTATGTGTAGTTTTGACGGCCCCATGTGTCGCCTTAGGGCACAGCTGTTTTCAGGACCGGTTTGGGTAGCATGGCACTGACCTCTTCCCGGCAAATTGTGGCGCGCGTACGGGTCGGCCGGCGCTTAGACCATCCAGTGGTCTGCAAGTGGGACATCCGCCTCCACCGTGCAGTCTGTTGTACATGTGGATCTGCTCTGGCTGCCGAGAGCTGACGTCGAGCCCCACAAGCGCCCAAAGCTTCCATGGTCCATGGGCCGCGCTCCGGAGCGCGTGCCTGGCCGCACACTTTGAGACGCACTTTTGCCAAGGGTCCCGTCCGTTCCACATTCGCGAAAATGCGCTGGTGTTCTATACCAGCGATGCCCGGTCGTGGAGGTTTGGGCCCAGTTTCGACCCGTGCTGGGCAACTTTTGAACGAGTGGATGATCGCACGCTTCGCATCTAAATGGAATCCGGTTTGTAATAAATTGTGATGTAAAAAATCACACATGGAAAAGTCAAATGGAAATCATAGAAATATATGACGGCAACTTTAAACGAATTGTGCCCATTGTTGCTTAAAGCTGCACGAAGTTGCTGTCGACGGTTGCAGAAATGCTGTCTTCCAGACAGCATGACGAGCTTGTCGAGCCGGGCGGGGCCGGTCTTTCTTTACTGTTCACGCAGTACACGCTCGTCCCGCGGTCTTGTTCGTAATAAGTTATGCCAGCGATAAATCACTGACCACCTGACAATCGTCAACCTTTGAGATGAAGGGTATTTCGCCGCTTAATGGAACCAGGCTGGTCAAAAATCATTATAAGAGCTGGATGTGCAGAAAGTTGTGACTTCCTGCTTGAATTCAAATAGATCTTGCATTTTTCCAGAAGTACTGGCTGTGCGCTACATCAGTTCAGCAAATTTGGCCCTCATAGAGGCCCAATGGGAGGCGGTAGTCCCCTGGTGAACTTCCATTATGGCAGTGTTTTAGTCCGTGGCATAACGACTGTCGACAACTCGCAGAGGCATCAATATTTTAGGTGCTCGTGATTCGTTGCATCGGATAATCTGCTGCTGGGGTTGGAAACTTTTCGCTAATTCTAGGAAAGCATTAGATTATAATGTTTTGTTTTGTTAGGCACGATTCCTTAAAGAAAGCGTCTAGACTTTCCTGCCGTAGTCAGTTGTTGCTATAATTATAATTCCTTGAAGAAAGCATCTAGACGTTCCTGTCACAGGCAGTTGCTACTATAATTATCATCGTCGTGCTTTTGCCATCATAATCTTAACTTTTGAACAATCAGCAGGGTGTCGCAGTTGACCCAATGCCTATATTTTTCCACCTGATTCGTTGACACCCGAAATGGCCGCTGCGGGTTTGCGGTCTAGGCGAGAAACAAAGTGAAGTCTAAAAACAGAACGGCAACGAAGGTTTCTTATCTGGCGAGCGTTGCCAGGTGCTTTGAACCTGGACCGTCGATGTGGCGCAGCTGTCTACAGCACGACTGAAGACCGGCATGTCGCGCGGACATATGGCGCAGGGCGCGGCACTGTGGGTTCGAGTCGAGCTGGCGCCAGATCTTTTGTGTAAAATAATGCAGGCAGTGTTACACCCCGCTCTCCGCCGGCTCGCTTGCTGTCGTTTTCTAAGCATAGTGTCTGACGTTGTTCGGAGATCCCGGCTGTCGGGAGAGCGCGTGTCCCAGCTGCTGCGTCGTCTCTGAAGCCTTCTGCTGTTCGAACCCCCCCCCCCCCCCCCTGACGTTTGGCCGCGTCAGGACGACGAGACTGTCCGGAAGATGGCGCTCCTTGGTTGGGGACGCCGCTGGGAGCGTATTTTACCCGGCATAATCTCGTCGTAATTGAAAATTCTCTGGCCGCACAAGGGAGAGCGCTGAGCCCATCTGGCGTGGCTTATCGTCGTATTTCTCCGGGGCATTTTGATCAAGAGGGCTTGGGCCCTGCCTCTGAAGATTTCTCCTGGTGCGGACATGACCGTTTGCGGCCTCAAACATGCGAGTTTTTGTTTTGTTTTTTGGTATTGATGGAACAAAATCGAAAATTGATCAGCTCCCTGAAATTTGCGTCAAAAACAGCCTGCGAAACACGTCATGGCCATCCATTGGTGGTGGTCCCGACACAGGCAGAGGTAGGGGAGACAGAAAAGCGGCTGGGGTACGAATGTACTCCATTGCGCCTGCTTTCAATGTGCAGGTCTCACCATTTGGCGTTTCCCTTCTGGGAACGTTAGGCGTGATCGTGTTGATCTCTGATAAAAGCGCGATCCCTTTAGTCCATTAGCGATCTCAGCCCGGGGCCTGGTGGTCCTCTTGTCTGGCTTCCTCGCGCTCAGCCACTGTCTGTCGGGTGTCGGCCGCCTCTGGTGATCCTGTGGCCTGGCTTCCTCACACTCGGCCACTGTTTATCGGCCCGCCCGCCTCCCTACTGTCAGTCAGGTCGGCCGCCCGCCTCCCTGCTCGGGGCCTGGTGATCCTCTGGCCTGGCCCCCTCACGCTCAGCCACTGTCTGTGGGGCCGGCCGCCTCCCTGGTGACCCTCTGGCCGGGCCCCCTCACGCTCAGCCACTGTCTGTGGGGCCGCCCGCCTCCCTGGTGATCCTCTGGCCTGGCCCCCTCACGCTCAGCCACTGTCTGTCGGGCCGCCCGCCTCCCTGGTGATCCTCTGGCCGGGCCCGCTCATGCTCAGCCACTGTCTGTCGGGCCGCCCGCTCCGCTGTAGGGCGTCGGCGACGGCTTGGACTCAGCTCCTCACCTCGACACCAAGCGGGGCTGCCGGCCGGAATGAGTGCGGCCTGCGGAAGAGCGTGTCAAGAGGAAGTACTGTGTAGGTCGGGCACCGGGTCTCATTAGCCGACCACTCCAGCCCCAGGCTAAAGTTGCGGTCGTCACACCGCAACTGGTGCCTGGGTCAGTAGCGAGGCCCCTGGTGCTGTTTCACCGAAGAGAACAATGATTTCCGAAAGGGAACGTCGTTCTGTCTGTCTGTTAGCGCAAATTATTGTTGCGCAATATGAATGCCCCGAGGCCTCATGTGCTCCATCGTCCTCCATAAAGATTCGCTGTGTGTGGATAAATAGTGGTGTTTGTGGATAAATAGCCACCGGATGTCTGGTGGATCTTCGCATGCCCACGTCGGGGTCTGCCTACTGGGCTGGAAGTCGTGCTCCTGTACTGATTGAAGGAGGGCTGTATGCGCTGTGGCCCTGCGTGGTCTCTGCCCCCGCGGACCGGATGGGCTGCGACCCTCACTGTCCCCGTCAGTGAAGACGGGATAGGCCGCCAGAGTGCCGTCTGCGGGAATTCCGTCACATCTCCGCCGCTCACCCCGATGTGTGAGCCTTTTATTGGTTCGCGAGATAGCATCGAGCGGCCAGATTTGCTGAAAGGCTCAGACGATGCTTAGCCTTTATGTTCGCCTCCGTCAGGGCCTATCCCGCGTGGCGCGGTGCGGAATTCCGGCGCGTAAATGACAGAAGGGTTTGCTTCAGAATATAGGGATACATAGAGAGACCAGTGCGTAGAGTTTGGGAAAATGCATGCACATTTTCAACCCGGTAAATCGTGCTGGTATACGGTGCAACTTTTGCTGGATTATCATCTCTTTTGTACCCGTCTCGTGGAAGAGCGTCCGACCATGGCCGCCGAGTGCTGGACGTCAGGCCGTATTTCGAAGGCGACCGCCCCTGCCGGTCACCGCAGCCGGGCCGTCACGCCGTGTTTCGGTGGCCGGCCCTGCTCCTTTGTCTGCCGCCGTGCAGGGGGCTGATCCCCAGACACGCAGGGACTATGACCCGTAATGACCCAGTTGCATGTCGCTTGAAAAATGAGTGTGGATTTTCCCCGGCTGTTGGTGTAAAGGAGCAAATTGCGACGCCAACTTATATTTAAGTCATATGCATCAAGATAATTAATAGCAGGGTCTGTTGTAGCATTCACTTTTCTACAAATGATTTCCCGCCCAGACTCTTAATGTGTCGTGCGCCGTTTGAACGGGCGCGTATGCGGCACGTTTCTGAAATTCGGCTGCAATACGGGTCTTGAGCTGTCTGCGGCGGCCAGTTGTGTCTTAGGGCACTAGTGTTTGATGAGTGAACGGGCGCGCTGACCGGTGGCTGATACAAACAGCGGCGATCAGTTACGTGTCACATACCACTTCTTACTGCTACGTGACGCGGATGCGACGGTAGCGCGCCATCTCAGGAACCCCGTCGACGGAGTGGGCCGCGAAAGGAAACCGTCGTGGCCGCCGGTGCTGCTCCCGTCCCGGCGAACGGTGCGGGCTGATTCCTCTTTGTCTTTCCGTCACGTCGTCCGACGCCGCGTCCCGGTCATCCGTCAGCTCGAGCTGAGAGCGATCATTAGGCCTTCGCCCGAACGGCCGTGCTAATCACCCTCGCGTGCAGGCATGACTCACTCTTGGCTACGTTGCGCAAAGGCCGGAGCACTTATCACCTCTCCGTCCTTTCAGCCGGCACCATCTCCGGCTCGTTCAAACCTGAAGCGTCCCTCACTCGGTGCTCAAAAGGAAAGCCCTCAGCGCCTCCCCATTCGGCTGGGGCACTCGTCGCAGGAGTCGGCGTCTCGACACCCCCCTCGCTCCGCGCCCAAAGACAAATTATATTTACTTTGTTCCGACGCGGAAGGCGCCATGCCGGCTAAAAACCGGAGACTCGCAGTTTTCTAGCAGGCGGTAGTATGCGGCACACATACCTTGCATCGCCACCCAACCAGGCGCGTCGGTCGCCCTTGAAGCCGACTTCGGGACCAGCAGGTGCCGCGCCATTCAGAAGTGGCGCACGAGCCGGCGGCGGCGTGTGCCGGGACCAGCCCTCTCGGCGCGCGTCCGTTCTGAATGTAAAGCTTGCATGTCGCGGCGCGGTCAACCTTGGCCTAAGTGCATGAGAAATGCCTGCGATAAATAACGGAGCCCGCCGGCCCGGCGTACCGCTGTCGGAGTATATCCTGCCGGTGGACCCGCCCACCCCCAGACGGCTGGCTCGGCCTGGCCCGGAGCGGCTCAGCGCGCAGCTCGCAGGGAGCTGGCCGCTGCTGATTGGCTAGCGGCTACCGGTGTTCCCCCGGAGGTGGTTTAGACCGGTTGAGCTGATTACGGGCTCGTGCTGCAAGACCTGTGCTGATTTCGAGCGACGCGAAGCGGTGAAAGGCTCATGCCGCTTCCTGGGCGTCTGTGCGCTGCGCATGGAATGTCCACTGTGTGCCAAGCGGGTTCCAGGGCTCGGAATAACTCAGCTGCACTCCCTGTTGGTTCAGTTGCCCCCTCGTCCCCATTCGCCGCCTGCAGCTTGTGTGAACCGAAAGTTTCCTCACGCATGTCTGCGCATAAGTACGTGGTTGAGCGCTCGCTGCAGCACTGAGTTACCCAACTCCTCAAATTAGCTCATCATCTGCTCACCGTTGGCGAGGCCGATCTCATTGTGGTCTCTCGAGAGCGAGGCGTGCATGTTCGGTAATGAGCATGACTCGCAACGGTCTGGCGCTAATTCACGTCCGAGTGTGCCGACTGCCGGGGAGAAGCCCATTGAGCGGGAGGGAGCAGAGCACTGGTCCGGGCCGTGATGACACCGGAACGTCTCGCGGGTGTGTTCCAAGCTTTCATCCCGGGTCCTTGGTTCCCATGTCCTCGTTTACATATCGTTAATTGCATTGCCTTGCGATGTGGCGTCTCAGCCCCGTGCCTTGTTTGTTAAGAGGGTGTCTGGACGTGATTTTGCGATGCAGACTGGGGGTTTGAAATGTGCCGCAAACGCTATGCAATTACCGAGTCGTTCAAGCAAGGTTTACGGTATGATGCTTTCGTAAAACCAATGTTTATGGTCATGCAGGTTTGAATACGTTTGTGCTTAAGCGCCAAGGTTTATAAACGTTTTTAGCCTGAGGTATAAAGCATGCGTGCAGAGGGCTAGAATAATTTAGATAGGAACAGTCATTGGTGAGCGTTCAAACAGGGCTCCCTAACAAAAAATCAAAAAGGTTTTTACCTGATCTTCTTAACAGGATTATTGGTTGCTGTATATTGCTTTAATGCTGCGGGGTCAACCGAAAATTTGATGATTTAATCACTACGAAAATGCTCGCTACCCAAGCCATTCAAACTAAGCTGCATCCGAAGCTGTGTAATTCGGCAGGTCGGCAGTCTGCGCTGCCGAGGCAGATCCGTACCGCGCCGCGGGCGGCGCTCATTCGCCCAAAACAGGCTCCAGCAGCGGTCCGTGAGCACGCGCGTTGCCAGCTGGGACGTAAGCGGGCCGGCGCGCCCCGGCTGCCGACATCCGTCTGGTGTCCGTCACTCGGGTGCCGGCGCAAGCCTTCTCGAGGGGTGTGACGTGCCACCGTTGGTGACTTACACGGCACGCTCCCTGGACGTCTGTGAGTCGTGGCTCCATCGCCCCTGTCACGCAGAGTTGCCAGCAGACGGCGGACGGGAATTGGTGGAAATGCTAGGTACACACGTCCACGTGGGATGGGGCTCATCCGTAACGCGGGACGGACAACGGGCATGGGCTTTTGTTATCATCAAGAAGAGAGTGGTGTTGCCGGTGGGGCTGATGGGGCGCCAAATGTTGTTCGTACATCGTCGGGGTTTGTTTTCTGGTTGAAGGCGTGCCCAAGATGAATTATGTGGGTCTGGGAGTCTGCTATTCCTGTAGCGTGTTTTTCATCTGCTCTTGGAACCGCTCGGATGTTTGTTTTGATGCTGTCGTGCGGATTTGATGTTTTCATTCCAAATGTGCCGCTTGTGCGATGACGTGTTCGCGTCACGCTTGACAGCACATGAACTGTCCTCCGTAAGACTCGACGTTTGCATATGCCGTTAGGTTCGGCATTGTCGTGCGTTAGCGGACCGAGGTGTGTCTCTGCAGCGCCAATTCCGGCTCTGTGTACAGCGCAGACAGACTCTGTACCTATTTTCATGGTTTCGATACGTTGTACCTCGTGTACTATGACAAACTCTGGCAGTTCTGATTAAATGCAGCGTGGTATGGCCGCTTTCGTCACTCTGTAGAAGCATCACTGAACTGGCCGCGTATCACTGTGCCAAACAAACAGTTTAATCAAAGCATGCTTTGGCCACGGATTATTTCCCCCGCAAACAAGACATCAAACAGGCTTGTGCTGTTTGTAATGCCATGCTGCCGGTTGCCTGTGATGCATGCTGACATGCACGCTGTCTGCGTTGTTGGCCGGCCGTAACGACTCATCGAGCCGGTGCAGTTGGACGCTTGCTGTCGCGTTCAAACGCACCGATCGGCGGCGCGGCAGCGTTTGTCGGCTGCCGGCGGCGCCGTCGTCTCGGCCGCCGCTGTTGCCGCGGGGCTGTGGCGTCACCAGGCGCTGACCTGACGGTGCGGCCCGTGTTCCCAGCACTACGACTGCCGCAACCACGTGCGTGTCATCCAGCCAATGGCCGACGGCGGCCGGCTGTACGTCTGCGGCACCAACGCCCACAGCCCCAAGGACCTGGTCATCTACGTGAGTACGGCGGCGGCGGCGGGATGGGATGCGGGGGCGGGGTGTGGGACCGAGCGTGCGGTGTGCGACGCGTGGTGAGGACTTTCCTTCTGTGACACCTAGGCGAAGGCAGACTTACTGTGACACCTGGATAATGACTGTCATCGTGACATCTGTGCGGGGAGCGACCTTCCCGTGATCTGGGGATGAGGACAGTCCTCTGACGCTGTGACGAGGACGGTCCTGTGCAAGGCGTTCTGTCGGCGTTGCTAGGCCCACAGCGTTCATTTTTTCTCGGTGTTTGGGCGCGAGGGCCCGTAATAACCCCTTGACAACTGTGTCGTTTGCGAGCCCGTAATTAGACCGCCCCCGTAAGCCGCCCGCACGAAGTGAAATACCACGGCCATACGTCACGAGACCCTTTACGTAATTTTGAACACACAGCCAAGATGGTAGTTTATAGGCCACATATATCAGAGAATGTCTCCTGTTTCAAGAAGTTGTCAGTGAACACATGTTTTGCAGACGTCCGCCGAAAGATACGGAGCAGAATGACTTTACTATGTGATTGCACAATGACATGCCCTTTCCATAAAGTCGACTGCGCTTTTGGGAACGCTGCTGGTAATCAGAAACCGCGGATGATTCAAAGTCAGAAATACTTTTGCCGGCAGACGCTTTGCATGTGGCTGCGTCAAAATACGCGCATATGATATGAAGATCCAGAGATCCTCAGGGATCCTCAGAGATCCATAGTATTTCGAGTCATAAGACCATGAAGACAGCTCCATGTCTGAATTGGAATGCGCCTTGTGGAGGAGATATAGATCGCGTAACCAGCGTTAGATGTGCGAAATGTGCGTGTTAAATACCACGCGTTAATTGTCTATCACGCGACTTTTCACTGCGGCGAGGCTATCTACCTGCGCATGTGTGATAACTATTTTCACTGAGCTTGCGCCTATCATAAACTTCTGGTGAATCGTAAGCTTGCCCCTACCGGGTCATCTAAAGCATGAGCGAACTCCCCAGTTAAAGTCTGTCTTCGTAGCTTGGCCCCTTGCACGCACGCTAGGTAAAGTGAATGCACTTTTCCTGCCGACCCTGCCATGTCTGAGGTCGATGTAAATTTATTTGCCGTATCTTACCGTCGAATAGTCTGGCTCATTCCATGCGACCCGCTTTACGCCAGCTCTGCCGCGCGTTGGCCGCAGTTATTGACTGGGCGCTTTCCTGCCTGTCTCGGACGGTTGCTGCCCCCCCCCCCCCCCCCGTCGCGGATAATCCAGTCCGCGCACCTGGGGTGCCGCTGCGTGGCCGTTATTGCTCAGCACGTCCGGAGCCGCGCGGCGGATGACGGCGGCCAGCGTCTCCCGAGCGGTCGGCCGCCCCGGCCCCAGCGACTAATGGCGGCGCCGTGCTTAATCACGGCCGCGCACTGTCAGCGGGGCTCTCAACGGCGGCCTGTCGCGGGGCAAACAAAGGGAGAAGGGCTTAAAGGGGAGCGGGGTGTGGGAGTTTATGGGTGGCAGGGGAGTCATCCGGACGGGGCGCCTCCCCGCGCCGGGGCTGTGGGGATGCTGCTGCGCGAGAGGAAGTCGCTCGGGCTGTCCCCGCGCTAGAGCCGTGGGGAGGCTGCTCCGCGAGAGGAACTCGTTCTGTCTGTCCCCGCGCTAGAGCCGTGGGGATGCTGCGCCTCGAGAGGGGGTCGTCCGGGTGGGGCGCCTCCCGGTGCTGGAGCCGTGAGGATGCTGCGCCTCGAGAGGGCGTCGTCCGGGCGAGAGGGCGTCGTCCCCGCGCTGGGGCCATGGGGATGCTGCTCTGCGAGAGAGAGTCCTTGGTGCTCGGATGCAGAAGCGGCCGCTGCTGCTATTCGACTAGCGACGGCGCAGCGTGCCGCCTGCCGCCGCGTTAATGAAGCAGCGCCTTTTTCACCGATGGCAGACTGCTCAGCGAGCCCCCAGCAACAAAGAGAACAGTTTATGGCGAGCCGTAAGCTTGAAAGATGGACGACGCCTCGCTAGACTAAAGGACGCGTGGACGTCGGGACCACCACAATGGGTGTTGTTGTGCTGCCTGCAGCCCGGCTCGCAATTTGCAATAGATTGACGGAGCAATATGGTGTCCCACCGGGTGTGAAATGAGTTTGTGCGCTAACCATTATCGGATGACACAACAGACTGCCGGCATGCCAAACAGTGCTAAAGTGTGCCGTCAGCCGCCTTGCGCCTGCATATTTGAAGCAATCACAGGGCTGTGGGGGGGGGGGGGGGGACGGAAGCAATAGCCGTGTTCAGACCCGGCGGCCTGCCCGCCGGAGCGCACAGCGGTCGACTCAGCACTTCTTGGGAGTGCGAAGACGGCTGGCGATCGAGCCGCGAGACAAAGCGGGAATCATTGGGTCGGACGACGGCTGGCTGTACATCAGCCCGACAGCCAGCCGTCGGGTGACGTCACTGGACAACTGACTGATGCACACGGTTACAGCCGCGATGGCTGTCACATATGGGTACCGATGTGTATCAGCGCCCTAGTGCGGGGTGGCTGCGTTGCCGCCAGCTGAGGCTCCGCGGCGGAGCACGGCGAGCCGCTCATCGGTCGGCAACTTCCCATATGGGTGCTGCGCTACCAGGGCTGATATGCTAACTTCTCAGTCTCCCGCAAGGCCGCTCGAGATGGCATGGTTTTCGGGCCAGTTTGATTTCGAACCAACCTACACAGGCCCGGTGGGATTCGCTCCAACTGCGACACAATTTCCAGTTATAGAGCAGATTCGCTGCGCTGGTTTGTTTGATTGTTTTTTACTGCTATCTTGTTGACTTTCTGATCCGCTTTATGCTTTTACGCACAGTTCATGTTTTAGCTGATGCTGATATGTCGGCTCAATTTATCATTGATGGAATAATTGTTCGGGCTATCTCCCTCGTCTGGTGTGTTAGTGTGCGCACGAAGGCTCGGCCAGTTAACTCTCCAGCCGTCGTCAAGAGCTATGAAGACCTTGAAGGACTGAACGATGCCCTGTTCCTGATGTTCCTTCTAAGGACTCCATAACACTTGACGACGGCTGGAGAGTTAACTGGCTGAAACGTTGCGTGCATGCTAACATACCAGACGGGGACGATAGCGCGAACAATTATTTCATCCTTGATACTAATGCATCGTCTCAATTCTTCCATAAAGCTTGGCGTAATGTATGGAGCCATGGTCGTTTCTGCCTTTATCGATGAATATGTCATGGCTTGAAAAATGGCCTAAGTAGCCCACGCGCTCCGTAATATCAATCCGTCTTACCTTATGAGCTCAATTGAAACACGTTATTTATCATCGCACAACATATCATCCACCGCAATCAGTGTACCTTCGTGGTGCTCATGGATATACCGAACAGAATGCAGAGGCTTCCTAAACATGCTGCGCTCATTTACGTGCTACGCTACGCCTCGACTCACAAAATCACGAGCACGCAAACCATTACATAAAAATTCGTCACAAACGTGCTCCTAGTCCAACCTAGCTGCGGGGGGAGGGGGGGGGGGGCACGCTCTGCAACAGACCGAGAATACCGGCAATGTATGGCTGTGTAAGCCTGTCGTTCGCTATGGAACCAGTGGACTCCGCCCTTCGCCTCTGTGTCGTGGATGACCCTGGCATACCCCGAGGCGTGAGACGGGATGCCAGCAGGTCCTCTGGGACGCGTCTCGGCGGTAACACACGATGCCTGCGGCCGTGCAAGGCTGTCACGCTCGAAAGCCAGCGCGGCTGCGGGACGCGATCTCCGCACTGGCCCATGACTGGGTTTCGCGTCTCCAAACAGATGCTCTCGGGCGGTGCATTTGCTCGGTGGGCGCTCCTGCCATCTGATGTGTGCCACATGTGGCGTGCATTCGATATGCTGCGCTGTCGTATCGCTGTCCCATGCATGCATGCACAGCTCGCCCTGCTAGCCGAGCCGCTCGGTCGTCGGCCCCGCCGGTGCCCTGTCAGCGAGCTGTCGAGCGCGGTGTCGTGAGGCGAACTCGACGATCGAGCCGACCGCGTCGCCGCCGGCTGGCAGACCCACTCGGCTCGATCCCCCGCCCCACCTCGGCGGCGGCGCCGCTGTTGTGCGCGCTCTGCCTGATGTCGGACTGCCCGCTGTCGGACTGCCCGCTGTCAAACCGCCCGCTGTCAGACTGCTTGCTATCGGACTACCCGCTGTCGGACTGCCTGCTGTCAAACTGCCTGCTGTCGGACTGCCTGCTGTCGGACTGCCTGCTGTCGGACTGCCCCCTACCAAACTGCCCGTTGTTTGACTGCCCGCTGTCAGACTGCCCGCTGTCGGCATGCCCTTTGTCAGACTGCCCGCTGTCGGACTGCCTGCTGTCGGACTGCCCGCTGTCGGCCTGCCCTCTGTCAGACTGCCCGCTATCGGACTGCCTGCTGTCGGACTGCCCCCTGTCAGACTGCCTGCTGTCGGACTACCCCCTGTCAGACTGCCTGCTGTCGGACTGCCTGCTGTCGGCCTGCCCCCTGTGAGACTGCCTGCTGTCGGACTGCCTGCTGTTGAGCCGCCCGTGGTCGGACTGCCCGTTCGCCACCCCTGCTGTCGCCGCCGCTGCCGCCGGCGCTGTCGTTAGGGGACGCTGCCGTCGCCGCCGTCGTGTGACCAGCGCTCCGCCCCGTCCCCAGGCGAACCTGACCAAGCTGCCGCGCACCGAGTTTGTGCCCGGTATCGGCAACGGCATCGCCAAGTGTCCGTTCGACCCGGACGACAACTCGACGGCCGTCTGGGTGGAGCACGGCAACCCGGGCGGCCTGGCCGGCCTCTACTCGGGCACCGTGGCCGAGTTCACCAAGGCCGACAACGTCATCTTCCGCACCGATCTCTACGACTTGGCCACCAAGCGGCGCGAGTTCATGTTCAAGCGCACCATCAAGTACGACAGCAAGTGGCTCGACAGTGAGTAGCGACGCGGGCGGAGCGGGAGTCCGTGGTGTCTTCCGCTCGTCCCGCGGCTCCCCTGACCCGAAGCGGGCCGTCCGCGGGCGCCGCGGGAGGAGCGGGGCCCGCGGCTTCCCCCGCACGTCCCGCGGCTCCCCTGACCCGAAGCGGGCCGTCCGCGGGCGGCGCGGGAGGAGCGGGGCCCGCGGCTTCCCCCGCACGTCCCGCGGCTTCCCAGAGCCGAACCCGGCCGTCCGCGGGCGGCGCGGGAGGAGCGGGGCCCGCGGCTTCCTCCGCACGTCCCGCGGCTTCCCAGAGCCGAACCCGGCCGTCCGCGGGCGGCACGCCCGGCCAGCTCGTCAGGCAGCCCAGCGGAGTTCTCCGCGTGGGTCGCGCCGGTCCCGGCTGCGGTCCGGGCCCAGTGGAGACCCCCGCGTGGGTCGGGCTGGTCCCGTCCGCGCTCTGGGCCCAGTGGAGCCTCCGCGTGGGTCGGGCCGGTCCCGGCTGCGGTCCGGGCCCAGCAGAGGTCCCACATGGATCCGGTGGTCCCCGCCGCGGTCGCCTCTGTGGTCGGTGTGGGCGGCGGCGTTCCAAGCTATCAGACCCGGTGCTGAGATGTAGTGGCGGTGGGCGACGAGGGACGGAGGGCGACCCCTGCTCAGACGGGCACGCAGGGTGATACCGCCCGTTTCAGTGCTTGTGCGAGTTTTACGTACACACATCTGACATCCCAGAACTGGTATAAGACAAGTTACGATATGCTTACGGTGTGCGCAGTAAAACACAACAGTCAGTTATTTTTTAACACGCAATTTTTTCTGACATTCTTACGTGATATCAGTACGGTAGGTTCTTTTTTGTGTCATGCATCAGTCCGAAAATTGGCTACTCCCAGAAGAAAACAACGACGGCTGGATGACATGATTTTCTATTCCAGAGCCCAACTTCGTGGCCTCGTATGACATCGGCGAGTACGTGTACTTCTTCTTCCGGGAAACAGCACTGGAATATATTAATTGCGGAAAAGCAATCTATTCTAGGTAAGTGAAAACCACAGCATAGACGCATCTCGTTTAGTGCTATTGTCATTTCCAGAGCTAGGCGTTCCTATCATATGGAAGGTCCTTGCTCATGTTATGTCATAAGCACTTCTGTCGGACGCATGAAGCGTATCCTATCCTTCAAATGGTCCCTGCTGTATTTTCGATCGTAGTACAAGTCTCGGAGTTTTCTAACTTTGGGAAGGCTGGAATGCTATATTTATCTGATGAGCTATCGAGCTTTTTGCAACAAGATGGGTATGAATTCGTGATCGGGCTTCCATTTGGTGCCATTTGTAGCTTAAGATTTTTTGATGGATGTTCATCGTTCTTTACGATGCATACAACGGCTTTCATATTGTGCCCTTAAGTTTTTACGTCAGTTGTAGCGAAAACGAAACACATGCGGCAATTAGTCTCGAACCGACTACCTTGCGTTCAGAAGATGTGCGTTCCACCACTGTTTCGCACGGTTCCCTACTAGGAGATTTGCATCATGGGTTTCTCCTAAAGAGCAACGACCAAGACGATGTTCATGTTCTAACAGTGCGCTTAAGCACCATTATTCGTTTCCAAATAGCAGGATATTTCGAATGAGTTAATTTTCTGCCAGTTAAACTAGGGCATGATGGAACCTTAAAATGCACGTTCAGGCGCATTTTTGTCATGTCTAGATTATGAATATTTGCGTGTTCGTTCAGATTAGCGCACAAACGGCCGAGCGGCTGATGGGGCATGGCTGATTATTGTCCCCATCAGGTGGTCGACAGCTATATTCATGCTATTGGCGAGCCCTTCGAGTCAGGCCAAAGTTTGCGAATGAATCGCATTGGTTTCATGATATCAGCCACGGAATGGACATCTGGAAATGAAAGCCCGTTCCAGCGAATGAAAGTTGGAAAGTAAATGTGCGTTTCCGACGTTGGTGGGCACAGCCATCACTTCCCTGTCGAAGTTGTCTCTTCTTTCAGTGTGCAGTAGGTGCTTCGATGCCCTAGTTCTGTGCCGATGCTGTGACCCGTGGCAGAGCGGAAGGCGGAACGCTGTGGGTGTGTGTGTCGTGCGGCCTGCTCACTACAAGTGCGACGCTCAGGGCCTCTCCGACTCGTGGTGGTCAGCTGCCCCCCCCCCCCCCCCCCCGGTTAAGAACCACCTGGTGCTACCACCCTTCTTTTGTCTGGAGTGGATCTTTGGGACGCGGTCGCACTGCTTTCCCGCTGCGTGTGTGTTGGAACGTTATTTTGCGCACAACTCGGCCGTGTTTATCGTTTCAGTGCGCTCTTAAGACACCTGCGCGAACAGTGGGCCAATCCATCAGAGCGAGCTTTAATCAAGCTTATTACATCTGTTGATGTACTTTCCGAAGGTCAGCCCGCCTCATTTTACGAAAGGTCACGTGACCTTCAATCTTCAGGGTTCAGAGAAGATAGCTTCCGCGGATGGTAGGACCTTCCACGAAAATGTTAACGTTTACCGCAGAAGACAACGCTTGGCTCCCGATGGAAAGCTGCCAGTCGGCTTTCACCGGTGTCCGTTGATGAAGATATCAAGGAACGACGTAGTCGTCAAAGCAAATATCGATATGAGGGGTTTTCCTGTTTTGTTGGGATCTTTCCGAGTTCGTATCTTTTAAGTGGAGGAAGTTTCAGGGAGTCCCGTGCCTTGTAAGAAGCTTCTGATATTCCTGGAGAACCGTCACGCCAATGACGTCACTGGAGAGGCGTTATGGCCACCTAATGTGACTTCAGCTAATGAACCAGCAACACATAATGGTTATGACGCATGCGGAATGAGAACTCCGAAATTGAACCTGAATTTCAGCGCGAGCATTTTCGATCTATCCCAGCGCCTCGCCATGTGGAAAAGACGGGTGGTTCATGGAGTCAGAGAGGCTCGGAAGCGCGACATTTGTGTGTGCCGCTGTGCATTGATGTCCGGTCATTGTCCATGTTACTGTCCTTCAGCCATGTGAAGGCTAATGTCTATCTTCCAGAGTGGCTCGCGTGTGCAAGAAAGACACCGGAGGCAAGAACATCCTGTTTCAGAACTGGGCCACTTACGTCAAGGCTCGACTGAATTGCTCGATACCTGGGGAGTTCCCGTTCTACTTCAACGAAATTCGTAAGTCGTGATGGGCTTGAACTTTTCTGTTTCTAAGCCTCACCCCATCGCCTTTGGAATAGTCACTCCACCTTCCATCCGCTGATTCTCCCTCGATCCGTTGGTGACGTCATTAGCCTGCCACAGGTGTCTTTTCCATGTACATGCGCATATCCCTGTCCCTAACCTCATTTGCTTTGCATTGCGACGAGCTATTCCCCGTCACCTTTATTGCGGAAATTCCATAGTCCGAACAGAAGCTGGGTCGTGTACTATAGCCGCGCCTTTAGGCCAAGTGAACAGTTTGTGTCTAATACCGATCCAGGTTTCAAACGGTGTTTTGTTTGCTTCTGTGACATTGCTTTGATAGACGTGGAATAACGCTGTGCTGGAGTGCATTCATAATTTCATTAGGTTTTGGGCTTCACGCTGGCTTCACAGGGAGCCAAGTCGTTTGATATTCACACACACACGCACGCTCACCGAATACAAAGCTGATGCTGGCTTAGAGATTTGTCAAGTCTGGAATGCCGTCGTGGTTGCTCCGTGTATCCGAATAACGTAAGCTTTTGTAAGCGTTACGCTGTCTTTGCATCATGCCGTGTCTGAGTCATGTTGCAAAAACTACGTGTGCACTTCTTACCATACTACAGTGTGCTACATATTACATATGCTACCTATTACCATATAGCCCAAACTATGCGTACACTTAAAGGGACCTCGTTGGCCTTTGGACTCCGGCCGCTGCCGGCTGCGATCACTCTCCATCGAGACGGGGTGCAGTTGTGCGAAAGCCCCAGCCCCTCTCCTTCCCCTCCCCTCCCGTACCCGAGTTGCCCGAGGCCTCACCCGGCGCCGCCGGCCGCAGAGTCGGTGTACAAGGTGCCCGGAGACGACACCAAGTTCTACGCCGTCTTCACCACGTCCATGACCGGCCTGATGGGCTCGGCCGTCTGCTCCTTTACTCTCCGGGACATCCAGGTGAGGTGGGAGGTGCGCCGCACCCCGTCCAGGTGAGGTGTGGCCTCGGCGGCCGACCGTGTTCATGTGTTCATGTTCGGTTCACGACCGACCGTGTTCATGTTCGGTCGTGTTCATGCCGCCCTGCCGAGCGCCGGACGACGGCATCTGTGGATATGGTCTAGTGCTCTGGTGGTGTAGCTGCCTGCTAACGATGGGGTCCGGGTGGATTTTGTGAACGCTTGTGATGAATTGCATAAAAGTTATGTTTACATTTCCATGGAGATGTGAAGAACTTCCCGCATCATGAACTGACTTTGAAAGCTTTAGATTGGTTTCCAGCGCTACTCAGGGCTTCAACGTTCCTATTACAGGCGATGCTGGTGTCGGTGTGTAGATTGCTTGGAAAGGGTGTGCTACCGAAGCAGAATGTGGAAATCAATTATTTCACCTGCCCTCACGTTTTCTGCGGATGTGATCGACTCACTGTTTTTTTTTATTGCCGACTTCTTCACGTCGTTGACTTGCTTTGGGTGTAGTGGTAGTGTGGATTAGGTGCCAACCACCACGTGCCCGTCTACTCTATACCCGAACGGATCCGTTTTAAGCTCCCTTCGGGGAAGTAGAAGGGCAAATCGGCGTCACGGGGCTGTGCCATGCGGCTGGTCGCTTCATAACGGCCGGCCGGAACGGACCGCGTGAGCCCCGACAGCGACTGGAGCGCGGCTCGGCGCGCGGCCGCTCCCGCGCTCCAGGCGACAGGCACTGCCGCCGAGACTCGACCGGTGGCGCTGGGAGGTCTCCGGGTGCCCGCTGGGCCCTGCTGAGTGGCGCCGCGGTGGTGGCTGGACAGCGTTCAGTGACGAGCCGGCGGAGTGGGAGGCGGCGATTGGGCGTTTGGTGCCAGTCAGTCATGGCGACCGTGCAGTGCGTGCAGACGATCTGTGGCACTGACTGTGGCGTCGGTCTCCCGCCAGGCGGCGTTCGACGGCAAGTTCAAGGAGCAGAAGACGTCGAGCTCGGCCTGGCTGCCGGTCAGCGACTCGGCCGTGCCCGAGCCGCGGCCCGGACACTGCGTCAACGACACCCAGGCTCTGCCAGGTACGCCGGCGGCCTCACGTGCGCACGCCCGCCCGGCCGCGCCCACCGGCTGGCGCCAGGGGACGGCTGGCGTATCCCCTCGGTGGCTGTCAGCAAACGGCCGTGGCGGATCGACCAGTGGATGTCTCAGAGAGGTGGAGGCACATACAGAAGCCATGTGAAACGGGGTTCGCCTGGGGAATCCGCTTAAAAAAATAGATATCGTAGTGTTTCACTATGATTTCGTCCCTTACAGAGTGAAATGGATGTTATCGGGTGAAATTAAATCTGTTTTAGCACTGTGCGTTTTTGGAAGTAGAAATGTAGATGTTCTTCTGCTAAATAGTGGTATCCCTGGATGCTTTTTTGTATCGCTGCTGTACTTAACAAACAAAAGCAAAACAAAAAGTATTAAAAGTACTAACGTATCAAAAGTAAGCACTGCAAAGTACTTAGCAAAACAAAGCCGCATATCTTTTTGACTATAATCAACAACCATCTATGGACCACCCCATTTAGAAAACTGTCGGATCCGCGTACGGAGGGCCATCGCCGTTGATTGCACCAGTGGCCTGAACGAAAGATGTTGCACCAGTTATCCATCGGCTCTGGGTACGAGTCCCAGAGCTGTCGCATGGTTTAGCCCGTCGGATATGGAAAGGTCAACTGACAGCTCTGGCCCACGGAGATCACCCCGTCCAGGGGCGCGCGGCGTGCCACAGCGCTGCGCGATGCGTAACTAACCATCCAGGCTCGTTTATTGAAAGAGCGGAGGTAAAATGATCCATCGAATTGCGGGTCACGACTTGAGTGACGGTCTTAGGGCACACGGCACAAGCCGTGCTTAGCAGGTACTCTCCACCCGTGCGAATGATACGGGGTACATTTATCAATTAGTGGTGGAATGTCCCGTGAGATGCGCCAGTGTATTTGGGGCGGAGGTGCAGCCATGTGTGAAAGTTTGCTGATGCCAGCTAGCATTAGCACTCCATGGCCGATCGGATGGGATGAATGCAATGAAATACGCTAACTGCAAATGGGATTGCTCGTTGTCCGACCCGATGGGCCCTCACTGAACCCGCGTGGGCCGCGAACTTCAGGCTTTCTGTGTGCTGACGCGTTTCCAGTATCGAACAGACGTGGTGCTGACGTGTCTCCTGTATCGGGCAGACGCGGTGCTGACGTGTCTCCTGTATCGGGCAGACGCGGTGCTGACGGGTCTCCTGTATCGGAGAGACGCGGTACTGGGGGGTCTCCTGTATCGGGCAGACGCGGTACTGGCGGGTCTCCCGTATCGGGCAGACGCGGTGCTGACGTGTCTCCTGTATCGGGCAGACGCGGTGCTGACGGGTCTCCTGTATCGGAGAGACGCGGTACTGGGGGGTCTCCTGTATCGGGCAGACGCGGTACTGGCGGGTCTCCTGTATCGGGCAGACGCGGTACTGGCGGGTCTCCCGTATCGGGCAGACGCGGTGCTGACGTGTCTCCTGTATCGGGCAGACGCGGTACTGGCGGGTCTCCTGTATCGAAGAGACGCGGTGCTGACGGGTCCCCTATATCGGAGAGACGCGGTGCTGACCGGTCTCCCGTGTTGAACATGTGTGGTAGTGACATGTCTCTCATATCCTGGAGACGCGTTGCTGATATGTCTGCTGTATCCGACAGACACGTTGTTGACATGTCTGCCGTATCCGAAAAACATGTTGCTGGCATGCCATGTCTGCCGTATCCGACAGACGTAGCTGCCGTAACTGCGTCACCGAACCTACAGTGCTGATGTATCTAGTATATCAGACAGACGTGATGCTAGCAGGTCTCCTGTGTCGAAGTGACACATTGCTAATGTGTCTGCTGTATTTGACAGACACGGTGCTGACGTTCATCCAGTCTCACCCGCTGCTGGACCAGGCAGTGGCTCACCACAACCACCGACCCGTGTTCTACAAGCGGGACCTCATCTTCACTCATGTGGTAGTCGACAAAGTGATCTCAGGCTCCTTCGGCAATGACCGGGAATACACCGTCTACTACGCCGGGTCCAGTGAGTTTTTCCGTCCTCGCCATATGTTTGTTTTGAAGCCCACGAGTATAATATTTATCAGAAGACACAAGTAGCTTTCTATGCTTGTGAGATCAGCTTGCATTCGTGTCGCCGGCCGAACTCATCGCCTCGCTCTGCGTCCCGCGGTGCCGAGAGCAGGACGTGGCTTTCGGCGCTGTGCTGGTCCCGGGCGTGACGTGGCCTGCGTTTGCAGACGACGGGAAGGTGTACAAGATCGTCGAGTGGTCGGACGCGCAGGGCGGCTCGCACTCGCAGCTGCTGGACATCTTCGAGGTCACACGACCGGAGCCCATCCGGCAGATGGCGCTCTCCCGACGGGTCAGTGGTCATGGGGGGGGGGGGGGGGGGCTCGGGGCGGCCGTGTCACTGGTCACGGTGGGCCTCAGGTCGGCTGTGTCAGTGATCATGATGGGCCTCAGGGTGGCTGTGTCAGCGGTCATGGTGGGCCTCAGGGTGGCCATGTCAGCGGTCATGGTGGGCCTCAGGGTGGCTGTGTCAGCGGTCATGGTGGGCCTCAGGGTGGCTGTGTCAGCGGTCATGGTGGGCCTCAGGGTGGCTGTGTCAGCGGTCATGGTGGGCCTCAGGGTGGCCTGTGTCAGCGGTCATGGTGGGCCTCAGGGTGGCTGTGTCAGTGGTCACGGTGGGCCTCAGGGTGGCTGTGTCAGCGGTCATGGTGGGCCTCAGGGTGGCTGTGTCAGTGGTCATGGTGGGCCTCAGGGTGGCTGTGTCAGTGGTCATGGTGGGCCTCAGGGTGGCTGTGTCAGCGGTCATGGTGGGCCTCAGGGTGGCTGTGTCAGCGGTCATGGTGGGCCTCAGGGTGGCTGTGTCAGTGGTCATGGTGGGCCTCAGGGTGGCTGTGTCAGTGGTCATGGTGGGCCTCAGGGTGGCTGTGTCAGTGGTCATGGTGGGCCTCAGGGTGGCTGTGTCAGTGGTCATGGTGGGCCTCAGGGTGGCTGTGTCAGTGTTCATGGTGGGCCTCAGGGTGGCTGTGTCAGCGGTCATGGTGGGCCTCAGGGTGGCTGTGTCAGTGGTCATGGCAGGCCTCAGGGTGGCCATGCTAGTGGTCATAGCAGGCCTTGGGGTGGCCATGTCAGTGGTCATGGCAGGCCTCGGGGTGGCTGTGTCAGTGGTCATGGCAAACCTCAGGGCGGTTTTGTCAGCGGTCATGGTGGGCCTCAGGGTGGCCGTGTCAGTGGTCATGGTGGGCCTCAGGGTGGCCGTGTCAGCGGTCATGGTGGGCCTCAGGGTGGCTGTGTCAGTGGTCATGTTGGGCCTCAGGGTGGCTGTGTCAGCGGTCATGGTGGGCCTCAGGGTGGCTGTGTCAGTGATTATGGCAGGCCTCAGGGTGGCTGTGTCAGTGGTCATGGTGGGCCTCAGGGTGGCTGTGTCAGCGGTCATGGTGGGCCTCAGGGTGGCTGTGTCAGCGGTCATGGTGGGCCTCAGGGTGGCCGTGTCAGTGGTCATGGTGGGCCTCAGGGTGGCCGTGTCAGCGGTCATGGTGGGCCTCAGGGTGGCTGTGTCAGTGGTCATGTTGGGCCTCAGGGTGGCTGTGTCAGCGGTCATGGTGGGCCTCAGGGTGGCTGTGTCATAATGGCAGGCCTCAGGGTGCTGTGTCCAGGGTCATGGTGGGCCTCAGGGTGGCTGTGTCACGTGGTCATGGTGGGCCTCAGGGTGGCTGTGTCAGCTGGTCATGGTGGGCCTCAGGGTGGCTGTGTCAGCGGTCATGGTGGGCCTCAGGGTGGCCTGTGTCAGTGGTCATGGTGGGCCTCAGGTGGCCGTGTCAGCGGTCATGGTGGGGCCTCAGGGTGGCCTGTGTCAGCGGTCATGGTGGGCCTCAGGGCGGCTGTGTCAGCGTCATGGTGGGCCTCAGGGTGGCCGTGTCAGCGGTCATGGTGGGCCTCAGGGTGGCTGTGTCAGTGGTCATGGTGGGCCTCAGGGTGGCTGTGTCAGCGGTCATGTGGGCCTCAGGGTGGCTGTGTCAGTGGTCATGGTGGGCCTCAGGGTGGCTGTGTCAGCGGTCATGGTGGGCCTCAGGGTGGCTGTGTCAGTGATCATGGTGGGCCTCAGGGTGGCCGTGTCAGCGGTCATGGTGGGCCTCAGGGTGGCTGTGTCAGTGATCATGGCAGGCCTCAGGGTGGCTGTGTCAGTGGTCATGGTGGGCCTCAGGGTGGCCGTGTCAGCGGTCATGGTGGGCACCAGGGAGACCATTTCAGCGGCTGGTCTGAAGTGGCGTACTTCGGGTCATGGCGTCGTCACCCGTTTCTCACGACACGGGGGTCATTAACCGGCCTCAGGTCGTGTTTGGTCAGCAGCGGGTCCCAGATCACAATGAGGTTATGGGGACTCAGGCCATGGTAGTTCAACAAGCTGTTCTTAGGTTATGCCGGGTCGGTCGTTAGTCTTAGGTCAAAATGTACGCTAATTGAATTCCCGTGCATAATTGTCTTATAAGGTGGTGAGTGTATTTCCTTCGAGCGAAAGCTCTAACAGTATTGTGGCAGCGAACCACATGAGGGGTTTGCGGGTCCTCTCAGCATAAAGCATTTATGGTCCCAACCCCTTGATTTAGATATGGTTCACCCGTGTAATTTGCAATCCCCTCTTTGAAGCCAGTCCAATTTTGCCAAGGCTTGCGTCACCAACAAGCGGCACGTGGCACCGGTGTTGGGCCTGTCAGAGTGTCCGGTCTTTGAGCTCGCCGCGCCTGGCGTAAATTGACACTCTGATCCGTGCGACTAAGCTGATTCCGTTCAAATCGAAATACGTGCTTCACCCGATCGTGAAAATGGTGCTTATTAGCCATGTGCAGAGACCTGCAATAGGTAGCAAGTAAAATAAGGTTCCAAATTTCCTTGCTTGTGCTATCTCAACCTGGCCGGCGTTCCTTCCTCATCAGAGCCGATCAGGGCTTTTGTCCGTGTCTGGCGGGCAGGAGCGCTGCCACGTCTCTGTGTATCCGTGTCTGGCGGGGCAGGAGCGATGTCACGTCTCTGTGTATCCGTGTCTGGCGGGGGCAGGAGCGATGTCACGTCTCCTTGCGTCTGTCCCCACAGTACAAGTCGCTGTACGTCTCCTCGGACGTGGAGCTTCGCCAGGTCCACCTGGAGATGTGCAACGGCCGCTTCGACAACTGCCTGCGCTGCGTGCACGATCCGTACTGCGGCTGGGATAAAGACGCGCGCGCCTGCAAGCCTTACGTGCCCGGGTAAGACGCACGGCCGTGCGGCGGCTGTGCCACGGGCTCGCGTTTGCTCAGACTCACGTGCCGGGATAAGGCTCCGACCCACGCTGCTGGCTCCCTGCCGGCTCGTTGTTCCGACTGATATTCGGCTTTGAGTGCCCGAACGTTCTCGGTTGGACTGCTTTGTTCGAAATGTCACTGCATGTACTTGAACGACTTATACAAGTTCCGTGTAGACTTCATGGTTCCCGTTCTGATGTCATCTAGCAAATCCGTCCGTACTTTTTCCATCGAGTTCTCGTGTGACGCTCCAGCAATTTGTCATGCGGTTAGCAGTCTGCTTTTTCAATATGTGGCCCACCGGTGGGATCATATTGAGCTAGTTAGAGTTAAGCCATGCATCACTCCCATGTTAAGCTATGCATCAGCCCCCAAGGTTAATTCCCCCGCTGATCCTTCGGACAACTCCATGTGCAAGTCGTTGGCCACTTTCATGCGTGTCCGCCTCATCAACTCTTCTGACGACGCGAGGCCCTATGTAGGTGTGTCCCTCGAGATCCTCTTCCTTTACCAGGCACGCTCGTTCCGTCGTTCCCGCGTGTGGTGCCTCCACTGATCCACCATCAAATCCATCTGTTAACAATATGTAACCGATCTGATGGCCTCCAACTTGTCCGTACATTGTATATATATATATATATATATATATATATATATATATATATATATAGAAAACACGACTTAACACCCGCACGTGCGCGTTTCGTAACGCATTCGCGCGGACGCGAGAAGTGTGTGCGTCGGGCGGCCCGCTGCAGCTGCGCACGGGATCCTCCGGCGGCCGCACGTCACTACCTGAGCCGGTGACGTCACCAGCGAACGATGTCGTGTCCGACAGGCTGCTGCAGGACGTGGCCAGCTCGGAGCCGGGCCTCTGCGACAGCTCGGTGCTGCGCAGGGAGCTGAAGGCCACGTGGGGCCAGGCGCTCCACCTAGGCTGCGACGTCAAGCTGCCGCAGGAGATGGGCCGACGCCAGGTCAGCTGGTACCTCCGCAAGAAGGAGCGCAGACGCCACAGGTGAGACGGCTGACCGCTCTTCGGCAGAGGCTTCTGAACTGGGAAATTTGCGTGCCATTTGCTGGTCGGTCAGAGTACGGGCAGTGGCTTGAGTGTTGCGCAAGCTGGCATTGATGTAAGGAGGATGTTAGCAGCATGCAAGCGTGTTTAAGCATGTGACCCCGATATCGCTACTATCGGCGGCTCCGTTGGACTATTACTCGGCGACTGAAACCTTGTTCAACGTTTGCCTTTTGCCATGCCTAGTTATTTTGCAATGGCGAATCTTCGAATGCTTCCCGGATTTAGCCCTGGCAGCGCGCCCAGGTCTCGCACATTGTCAGAACTGGTTTTAGGAAGCTTGCACGGTGTGAAGATCTGAGTTCGATCCCTGTCGCTCCCGCCGCCTCTCTCCGGTCCTAGTCTTCCTCCACGATGTTAATATCGCGTACTCGCGCACTATCCCAAGGCACCCCGACATCAACTCTGCTGTCCTCCCTGTTCGCGCCTGCAGCGCTGTTCCAGTTCACGAGCCTCATCTATCTTCCAGCATTGTCCGTCACTGGTCCGTCTCATCGTACATGCAACGCCCCCCCCCTCCCCCTTCTGCGGCAGCTGGGCCGTCCCCCCCCCCCACGCCACTGACCCCGGCCGGTGCGCGCCGTCCCCCCCCCCCCCCGCCCACGCCACTGACCCCGGCCGGTGCGCGCAGGCTGGAGGCGGACCCGGCCAAGTACGTGCCGACCCAGAAGAACGGTCTGGTGGTGCTGGACGCGGCCGAGCCGGACGCCGGCCAGTACGAGGCCCGGCTCGGCTCGGACCTGCTTTGCGCCTACAGCGTCACCGTAGACGTGCACCGCTGCGTGGCGCCCGACCAGTCCAAGGTACGCCTCCCGTCCCCTCCCCTGTCCTGCCGAGGAGGTCACCGGTTGGCCGTCCGGTGTGAGGTACATCCCTTGTGTGGTTGTGTAGGCGTTCTCAGGACCACACAATGGCCCCCATTCCCTTTGCATTTTTGTGTGCCCTGCCCTCCCAGCACCGTGGCGATAAGGACGAACTAGGATGTTTTCACCGTTCATTCCATCGTGTTTTTTAATCATATTAAGCTGAGATGATGATTGTGACGCACGGAATATCCTGCATGTAGTTAAGGCAACTTGCCAGCTTTGTTTGCAGATAACAATGCTAGGATTGCTAAAGTATTAAGTATAAGCTTTATATAGTATTTTAGTTATAGCTTATATAGAATAGTATATAGTATATATATATATATATATATATATATATATATATATATATACTGTAAAGTATATATATAAAGTATAGTGTAAAGTATGAAGCTAGCGTTTTTGATGTTGCGGCGCCTGAAATCAAAATGCTATACGACGGCATAAAATCCGATGACACGTGATCTTGTTGCTTATGTTTCTCTGTTCGTTCTTCAGGACTACCAGAAGGTGTATTCAGATTGGTGTACCCAGTTTGAGAAGTACAAAAACGCGATGAAGAGCTGGGAGAAAAAGCAAGCGGTAAGTGTGGTACACCGGTATGGTGTTCTGGTCGCCAATAAACAGCATCAGTTGTCTGCAGGTGGTTATTTTCCACTGCCCCTATGCGAGTTGGCTCTGGCCCGCACTCGCCTCAGGGATCTCCCTTGTCTGTGAACGCCGTCATAGACGAGCGCGTTGCGTAATGTACCTTGCAGCCCGCGGATATGTGTCGACTGCCCAACGCTGCTCGCTCTGACAGTGTGCGTCTCTTTCAGCAATGTCGCAACCAAAACCGGAGTGTGAACCAAAACTCTCATCCGAACGAGATCTACCAGCGGCCAGCTCCGCTCATATGATCCCAGTGCCTCTGTGTGACGTCACTAGTGTGTGTGCGAACCAATCAAAACGAAGACGTCCCGCGGCGGCTGTCGCGCCCGCGGTAATTGTGCTGCCGCTCCCCCGCGAGAGAAACTGCCGCGTTGAAGCGCGTTGGCGGGCAGAGCTGTCGTTCCCGGACTCCTTGGAGAGCGCAGGGATCGTTCCCAGACACCGCCGTGAGTGCTGTGGTCGTTTGGACCACGTCGTGGGCGATAAATCGTCCTGAAATTAGTGTAGGCACCGCTGGCTCCGAATACTCCGCACCTGGCGCCCCTGCTGTGATCAGTGCTACTTCAAGTGCGGATGGCGTGCGAAAGATGGCGGTACGTGAGAGGAATGAGTGCTTGCGGCTGCGGGATGTACGTCTGCTGAAGTCGCCGCGTGCGGCACGTGCATAACGGAGGAGGTTGGGGGGAGGGGGGAGGTGCAAGTGTGTGATATGTGCGACTCCCAGCGAGAGGTTGGGAAAATCGTCGCTCTGTGCCCTGGCCGCCATTGGCATGCGCATCGCGCGAGCCCGCCCGGCCGTTCTGCATTGTGATGTCTCCGCATGGGTGCGAGAACGAGAGCGTACGCAGAGTTGTCTTGGTTTATGCGTCCCCTTGATCGGCGGTGTCTTCCATATTGATGGACCCAGTTACTGCTCGCCTGTGAGACGTCTTTTGTATCTGATCAGCGGTTCGAGAGCAGCTAGTGTTGGTTGACACTTGTTTTATTGGGGACTAAGATGACCCGTGCCTAGACTCGAAGTCCTGCAGTTCGGTTACCTCTGATCCCATTGCTGAGTGTTGAATGCTATGACGATATTTTTCGTCGTCTGTGTGTCTCAAGTTTATTATGTATAAGTGTTTAGGCATGGGATGCTGTTATACGTAGAGACGACTTCATAATAATAAATCTCATCCACCTTTGTACAAAATATTTGGGTTTCGGTGCTTATGGGCGCCATATGACCATCGTAGTCAGTGCGCCCCAAAGCCCAGAGCATCATGTTCATCATCCTCATCGGTGCTTGACCCTACAGTTGACAGGTTGCATTGTTTTAAACTTGCGTGCGCGAGGGATCGCCGAGCTCCCAGGTGGCTATCATCTTGACACGTGAGGAGGATTGAATCCTTACATACCATGAGCGACGAACGAAGACCTCTGTCGAGCTCATGTCGGATTCCATGCAATGCCAATGGATAAGGTCATCCTAGGTCAGGCCGGGGAAAATGTGACAAGTCATAAATGGTATAGGTGTGGAGATGGCTTTTCGGCATTATGGATTTAAGAGTCCTTGTGTTAAACCGATATGCCAGGTGGTAGTGGTTAAACGGCGCTATTGAGCAAGCATGGGCCATACTGCCAAAACTTGACAACTCGAGCTGTGCTCATGTGTCCCACGTTTCACTCCTGATCGTGAGCGATCTTGGAACGTCGAGTTTTTGCAAAGTAATTAATGTTTGCTCATTGACGTCATTAAACCAGTACCTCGTGGTATACATTGAAGGTCGTTTATTATCAGCATATTTTTTTTTCTTTCACGATCAAAATGTTCCGGGACGGCAAGGAGGGGGGGGGGGGGGGGGCTCGCTTGTCTGTGAAAGTGAATACAGCGCCCATCGGTCGAGGGTCGAACACATTCCCCGCATTCGTAGTGGTTGGACGCATACACAAGCCAAAACGGATACATATCGGTGTGTTATGCAGAGTACTCGTGCGAACGTGAATGTCCACCGATTTCGTTTTTCCACACATTTCGTCCAGTGACATCTCTTGAGGTCACTGGACCAGCTCTTAGTATATCAATCGGTAGGTTAGTTGAATACGTAGTGGGGGAATACACTGGCAATTTCAAACATTCTCGACACATGCATGCGTCATCCAGTTCTTACCATCGCGACGGTGTCACGACGGGGGGGGGGGGGGGTCGGCTTAATTTCCATACCATGCGAGCAGAAACGAGTGGAGGCCAGTCAGGTCGTGTAATTAACACGCGCCCAGGTAGCCGGCTAGATACCCTTCGTTCGGGTGGGGGTGGGGGGTGGAGGGTCAATTTGACCCCCAACTGAGATCTCGGGAACTAAGAAAGATAGAGACACCAAATTTACAGGGTGTCTTGACCTGTACGTGAACTCAGTTAGGTTGAAGTTTGAGCTTCCTAGGTCATGACCTTCAGGTCACAAGGGCTGAACAAGGTCAAATTCCGGGTTGGTCACCTAAGTGCCTCCAGAACCTAGCAACTGTTTCTAAGCAAAAGGCTACAAGCCTGTTTAAGGTTATTTGCCTTGTTTGACCTTTTGAAGGTCATGGTGGCCAAAATGATACAAGACTATTCTGAGTTTTGCACTTGAATAAGCGACAAAGATTATGCCAGGCAGTATGTTCCCAAAGCACAATGTCGACTCGGGTCTTCTTAGGTCAATGACCTGTTCTGACCTCTAAGAAGTCAATGGAAGATGTATAATGCGGTTCCTACTGTCAATAAATTCGAAATGAGCGCCGGCAACTATCTTATACAGCAAGCCCTAGAGTAATCAATCAGGTTGGCTTTGACCTTGGTCTGATCTTCATACCTGACCTTAGGTCAACGTCATCTGCTCATTCAATATTTTTGGTGCCGAAGAAAGCATCTCAGAGATGTATGACTTCGTCAAAAACTCCGTTATTGTATCAGATTGAACGATTTCCTAGAAATTGCCTTCGCTGCGACCATGACCTGACTTTGACCTGCCATAGGTCAGCGACCTTACAAAATACATGAACATGTTGATTGTCAAACGATCCGCTATTCAATTGTCTACAGTTTCCAAAATTTGGCGCGGCTACGCCACGCCGTTCGGAAACCATTCTGGAAAAATCTTTGGGGGGTCAATTTGACCCCACCCGAGCGCGCGTTAATAGTTAAGTCGAAGCAGCCAACCAAGCACCCGATGTTGGCTGAGTGGCCAAGGTGTCCAATGCTGTCTGTACTGCATGCCTGCGGATGAACCATTGGGCTCAAAAACCGGGTTAAATGGGCCATTGGAGCGGCTGGCGGAGCTGAGGCAGAAGGAGCCATGCTAGAAGGGCTGAAGAAGTCACACAGTTCAAGGATAGGCAGATGTTTACTCGTCTCATCGAGACTGTATAGAAATTTTCAGAGAGATAAGCCGAGCGACTTATATTTTCTAAGCGATTTACGATATTTGTCGAACACACATGATGTCCGCCATGCAGCAGTGCACCAGTTAATTGCAACGCTCCAAAAAGGCCACATCTCGTGCACGAATATTAGAACCACGCAATTGGATACATAGACGCCCATTCGGCGCAGACCGTCCCTCGCTGGGGTTGTTTGCATTTGCGCTGCTTCGCTTGGATTAATGAACACACAATACACCGCACGCCTAGCGTAAGGCGGCGGCTCTCATCGAGCTGACGTCTCATCAACGGTCATTAGTCGCCAAAGCACGTCATCACGATCGCCTCCAGGCCTCGGTACAGCTTGTCTACAGCGTCTTCACACTAGCCAAGTACGATACACTGCACAACTCCAACAAGCATGGGCTGAACCAATCCGAGATATCGCATATCATACACAATCACATCGGTTGGCGGAGGCGATATTGCATACTCACCACATACTGGCTTGACGACGCGCCATCCACGGCTACGTCGTCCCGCGTCCTCAATAATGTGGAATGTTCAGAATGGCATTGTCCTTTGTAAGACCTAGTCACGATTTGAACAGCGCAGAGCGTGACACTATGGCCCCGTAAGTAAGAAGGGTATTCGCGTGTCAAGAATGACGGACAGATACTACCACAAGGGTCACCAACAGACATGTGTTGTCGTGGCAAGCCTCCACTGCCAAGAAGCCACGTCAAATGCGTGGATACCTTGTCAACCGTCAGAAAAAGATATGACATGGGAGGAGGCAGTCAATACATTCGGAAATAAAACATCATAATCGGAAAGTTACCAGACAGCAACGTCGTTGTTCTCATTTTGTTCGGCGCACACTGCACAGCCTACTTCAGCGCCGTACTGTAAGCACCCCGAGCCGTTGGCTCCCAGCCCCGGACAGGTCACAGCCACCCTGCGTTGGGTTGGCTCCGGGCACGCCTTCAGGTTTCAGGGCCGTGTCTCTCGTGATGCGGTGGTGGCCGGACATGTCGACGGCCGTGACGTCAGCAGACCGCGCAGAATCCCCGGCCTCGCCCAGGTCTTCCACGCGTGGTCAGACCCGACACGTTCTCACTTAGGTCTCGCCAGGTGGAAACGGTCTGGACGCCGAAGAAGGTAATTGTAGCGGGGCCCGCTAGGTGGCAACAATCTGTGCGCTGTTGGTAGCTGTTACCGCCGCAGCCGCTAGGTGGCCACGATCTGCACGCTGGAGGCGGCCACGGGGCCGTGGCAGCAGTGCAGGACCCAGCGAGCGTTCGGGTTCTCCTGGTAGCAGTCGAGGAGAACGGCGCCATGTTCCAGCCGACGCTCCCCTGTGCATGCCGAGAGGGCGGTCAGTGGCAGTGCGGGCGAGAGACAGCCAGGGAAGGGTGCATCACCGACACTGACCACAAACGTCATCGACACGGCATCGGGACGGTGTCAACATCGTCCAGGAAAAGGAACGACACTGACCACGCATGGTATCGACTCTGCCCGAAAAGATCCTCAAGGCTCCTCCATAACAGCATCACAACCGTCCGAGAATAGAACTGGCAATGCTGGTAATCCCCACGTCGATACCAAGTGGGACTTGATACGACATCAGACGCTGTAACGGAGAAGCTGTCCACAGCACATTAGCTGATCCTGGCGCCATAACCTACATTCACGCGCGCTAACCATGCGAACGTAGCAGCATCAACGATCGTGTCCAGACTAGCATTACGAATACTAAAGCAGGAACGCGAGCCGCTGCCATCCGCGACGGCCCGCGTCGCCGTCTGGCCAACACTGACCTATGTTGCCGCCGTGCTCGTGCAGGAAATGCGTGTGCAGCGCGGAGTCGAGCTCGGCGACCGTCAGCGCGCAGACGGTGCTGCCGTCTGGTGTCGGCTCCGGGCACTGCCGGCGGCGGCGGCGCCGCTCGCGAGCGGCTGAGTCCGACAGAAGCATCTCCTGCAGGCAACTGGCGCCACACCGGCGTCAGACTCACTCTCGCGGGAGCGGGAGGCGTTAGATCCGTCCCCGGTAGGAGGGAAGGACGCTGTAGAGCTGCCTGAAGAGGAGGCTCAGCGTAGCATACGCATCAATGCGGGACGCAGAAAGTGGGCCGAACCGCTTTGAAATGACACATTAGACGCTCTCGAATACCTGCCACTGAACTCATAACGCTGGCCGTATGATGGCAAGGCAACATGAATTCACGCAAACGGCATAGCAAGTCTCTTCAACGCAGTGTAAGCTTACAGCGTTTCACCACATATATTTAGAGAAACCGGCGGTTTTGATCTAGGCGGCGGCCAGCTTTGCACGCAGATCCCTCTCATGGTGTCAGTCTCACCTGGTGACCAGGTCCCCTGCACAGGTGGCAGTCCTCACCTGGTAACAAGACCCCCTGTGGCAGTGGCAGCCCTCACCTGGTGACCAGGTCCCCTACGGCGGTGTTAGCCCTCACCTGGTGACCAGGTCTCCTGCGGTGGTGTCCGCTGCCAGCCGGACGGGCCAGCTGCTCCTCCCGAACTGCGAGGCCGACACGCGGATCACGCCCTCCTGGAAGTCCACCTCGTTGTCGATCTTGCGCACGATGGCCGTGTCGCGCCGACGCAAAAGCTTCTTCATCTAAAACACGGACTGATTGGGTCAGCAACACCGCCTCAACATCTTTGCTCCAAGATGGGTCGTGAGCAAAAAGCACGATGAAATTTAGCAGTGACCTCATGGGAACATGTTTATATTTAGTTGAAGCCTGTGGGTTTCTATGTTACGTGACCACGTCCAAATTTACTGAAAGCACCATTGTATCATTTAATACCACAAGACGCTCCTTAAGCGCAGCTTTTTGCACTAACGCTCCTCTATATTCCCCATTTGTGCAACTGTCTTTACTAAACCATGCTAGGCTGCAACCAATGAGAAATCTGCGGCGTCCTCGTCTGCCGGCCGCCTGGTGCGCGGCAGGCCCCCGCCTGCTCACCGCTCCCCCGGACTCGCGGCGCGCCCGCTCGTACAGCTCCTCCTCGTGCTGGTGCCGCACTTGGCGGATGAACTGCGGCGGCACCACCCACAGCTGCTCACGGTGCAGCACTAGGCGGCGAACCACACGCGCGGTCACCGACGCGAACGTGATCTGTGAAGCGCGGCAGGTGAGTGCCGTGGGTGAGCAAGGCAGGTGAGCAAGAGACGTGACCAAGGCACAACAGGAATCAGCAACGCGGATGAAGCACAAAATGGGATACCAGCGAGTGCGCGTGGGAGGTAATGCCGATTAATGGAAGGGTTTGGGAGGCGTGGGCATGGAATACAAAGACAGGGAAATGAGTGAAAGGAAAACTGTCAGTAAGTGCGGACAGAAAGCTAAGATCGAGGAAAATCGCGCGAGTGGGGCGTGAATGGCTAGAAAAGTCTCGATGTAGATCAGGATGTAGCCAACATTTGCACGAGTCGGTTAGCGTGGTTTACCATCCCGATGCAATGCTAAGTGACATATAAATCATGGGTCGGATTGATACCATTATCGGGACTGTTGAATCAGCCGGCTTGACTGACTGATTCAACCGCTCCGACCGTCTGCTCAAGACATAGCAGACGTTCCGACAACCGCCCTCTCGAGACACACACCCTGCGCACCGCCGGTGCAGTGCGGTCACCTCACCTCCTCCGAGATGTCGCGCTGCCGGCGCCGACCGGGCGGGATGAGGTTCGGCGCCATGATCATAGCCACGTTCTCGAGCGACATCTTGTTACTCGGCTCGTGCGCGGCGATTGTGGCGAGGAAGGCGAGCAGGCGACGCAGCAGCGCCCGGTTGGCCGCCGGCAGGCACAGGCAGAGCAGCGCCAGCGCTTGGCGCTGCTCTTCCGCCGGCAGCGCGTCCGACCGATGGAACGCTTCCATGCTCTCGTCGGTCAGCAGCGGCGCCGGCAGCTGGCGCAGCATCTGCTTCAGCAGCGCCGCTACGTCGTTGGCACTGCTGCGCTGCAGCGCCGCGTCCACGGCGCCCGGCTGGCTGTAAAAGCACTCGTCAACCAGCTGGCGCAGCAGCTCCGTCTTCTGGCGGTGCCCAGGCACGCGCAGCAGGCCCTCCTCGCGTACGGCGTGCCGCTCCAGGTGCGCCAGCACCTTCTCGAAGGCGAGTGGCACGGGACGTGCGTGTGCAAGCCGCTGCCTGTCGCGCTTCAGCAGCGAAGCCAACGACGCACCGACCACGGCGCCGTCGCCGCTAGAGCGCGCGCCCAGCCGGCGCCGACGCGCCTTCCGTCGACTGTAGCTGAGGCCGTGCTCATCGAACAAGCCGGTCAGCTCGAGCAGTGCCAGCTTCTGCACGCGCTGCACGTCCGTCTCCGAGAGGTCGCCGAGACGCGTGCGGCCCAGCCGCGCCTCGTCTGACACCTGGGACCGCGGGGGCCGGGTCACGCGGGGAGCACGGAGCCACGCGGGTTCAGTGATCCACGCGGGAGAGCGGGGCCACGCGGGGAGCACAGGGCCACTCGGGGAGTAGTGGGCCACTCGGGGCGCACGGGACCACGCGGGGAGCAGTGGGTCACTCGGGGAGCACGGGGCCACTCGGGGAGTAGTGGGCCACTCGGGGCGCACGGGACCACGCGGGGAGCAGTGGGTCACTCGGGGAGCAGTGTGTCACTCGGGGAGCAGTGGGCCACTCGGGGAGTAGTGGGCCACTCGGGGCGCACGGGACCACGCGGGGAGCAGTGGGTCACTCGGGGAGCAGTGGGCCACTCGGGGAGTGGTGGGCCACTCTGGGCGCACGGGGCCACGCGGGGAGCAGTGGGTCGCTCGGGGAGCACGGGGCCACTCGGGGAGTGGTGGGCCACTCTGGGCGCACGGGGCCACGCGGGGAGCAGTGCGCTACTTGCGGAGCACGGGGCCGCACCGGGGATGACGGAGCAAGGCGACAAGGGTCCATATGGACGAAGGGAACATGTTTGGTGACGCGTGAACATTATAGAGAGGCCGGGTGGATGCTGCTGACCACCCCACCCACGGACACCAAATAACACAACGTACGCGCATCAGGCGTCTTTGAGTACCATCGTCGCCATCACGACGGACGACATGCAATGCAGGGATCGCTGCTCTTTGATTGGGAGTCTGAAGACGTAGGTGGACTATTGAGCACCCCATGCACCGTTATGGAGCTTCCACCCGGACCCCAAGCCCTAGAAGTGGTTAAAGCTACATCAGCTTTCACCACATGACCATCTGCTTGCGGCTTGCCAGGTGGCATGACTGGTACCCTCCCACACACCGCGGCAGGTGCATGGTGTCCATGCTGGAAATCCTGCACAATCGCGCCCGACTCGCTCCCTGCCCCGCCTCCGTCACGCTGGCTGGCCCCACGCCAGCACAATGCAGTCCCCAACCCGCCAGCAGATGGCGCACCTCCGCGTCCTCGGTGGCCGGCGAGGAGGCGCCAGTGCCGGGTGGCGCCTCCTCCCGCAGCGGAGAGGTGCCCACGCCGGCGCCCCTCCGACGGGCCCCGCCGGTGCGCTCCCTATGGTGGCGAACCGACCCCACTGGCTGGAACGACACCGTCTCGATCCCTGCCGATGGAGGGCGGCAGTCAGTGTCGGGCTGGGCTGCTGTCGGCGTGGGGTCTTACCGTCACTAGTTTAGAATGCGGCTGCCAGTAGTGACTCGGGTAAACTGAAATATTTAAAGCATTCAAGCAGAAAGTATTCGAAATGGGCAAGAGCAGCGCATTACGACGCGGCGGAAAAGGCCCGGCAGAAGACGAACACTGCACGCTGAAGTCGTGCCAGGCGGCGCGTCGCCACCGGCCCGTACGCACGGCGCCGGGCTGGCTCGCTACGGTCCCAGACGCTCCAGGGTGCCACACGCGCGTCCCAAACCCGCCAGGACCTGCGGCCGCACCCGACCACCGCTAGCAGCCGGCGGGAACGTGGACGGCACGAGCCGAGCGCAGAGAAAAGCGCCTTTTCACCCGAGCATCTCACGCATCACCCATGCGAGACGTCACGCCGCCTTTTTATCACACCGACCATCGGACGCGGCGGGTCTCGACGCGTTTTCATCGACGGCTCGCCTCCGCGGGACACAGGCCGAGAGCGTGGTGAGAGGGTGAGTTGGCGCGCCTCTCACCGGATGGGTCGGGTGGTGAGAGCGGCCGGTGGTCGAGCTCGTAGTACCCGCTGCTCTCGAACAAGCCGAGCGGCCGCCGGCCGCGGTCCGTCACGTCACGTGATCGACGCCGCCGGCCAGGCCCCGGCTCCTCCCGCCGGTCACGTGACGTTGGCGCCTCCTGCTCCCTCCGGTCACATGACGTCGCTGCCTCCAGCTCCAGTCGCTCACGTGACGTCGCGGCCTTCCGCTCGCGCCGATCACGTGACGCCAGAGGCTCCGACTCCCGCCGGTCCCGAGATGTTACCGCCTTCTGCTCGCGCCGGTCGCGTAACGTCACAGCTTCCAGCTCCCGCCGGTCACGTGATGCCGTCGCCTCCTGTTCCCTCCGGTCCAGTGGCCCCGGGTCCACAGGGATCCGGAGGACGTGACGGTACTCGGAGGCCCTGCGGCGGAACCAGACGATGAGGGCTCACGACAGTGGAGACGGAACTAAGGTGGAGATGTGGGGCAAACGTTACGCCATTTCTTCCCATGTACCCACATAAGATCATTGTTAAGTGCTACCGGTGATATAAATCATGAACCCTAGGCTTAAGCCACCGCCGCTGTTTAAAAGAGGTACTAATGATGCATTGATAGTGTATCCTGGCTTGAGCATGACCTGCAATGATGTGCATTTAGCCCAACTGGTTCAGGGTAAGATTAAGTAATGCGGGCTCAGAGGAACGTGATGCGATCAGTAAACATCGCGTCCATCACAGTGGCAGAGCACAGCACTGCAGCGCTCGGCCGCTGTCGGCAGCAGAGCCTCCCCCAGATCGGCGCGGCCCGCCGGGCGCCGCTCACCGCCGCTCGTCGTCGGCTGGCTCGAGGCGGTCGAGCGAGCCGCGCGAGCTGCTGTGGTAGCCCTGGCTGTGCGGCGAGCCGGCCTGACGGCGGCCGGCCTCCTCGGGCGGCGTCAGCGGCGGCGAGAGCGAGTCCAGGCTGTCGGGCGTGGCCGAGCGGCTGCGCGAGCCCGTGCTGTCGGCGCCGGCCGGGAACAGGCGGCGCATATCCGGCCGCCGGCTGCGCTCCTTGCCGCCGCGCCGTTTCTGCAGGGTGTTGCGCAGCACGTGCAGCCGCCGTCGCACCACGGCCGCCTGCCAGCGCACAGCGAGGGAGGTGTGACGGCGCATACGGTGCGGAGGCGACGCTCGCCGCGGAGCGCGACTGTTCATACCGTGTAGCGCTGGTTAAGAATGCGGAAATGGGGGAGGGGGGATGGGCTAGGTAACAACCCAGTCGCAAGTTGAATGAAAGTTGGCATTTACTCACTCGACTCGGGTAGTTTGTGCGCCCTTGGTGACGCCATTGAACGTGACAGCACGTTCAATGGCGTGACAGCCCGTTGCGGAACAGCGGCAAATAGCATCACTGTGGCAGCGAGCCATGCAGGGGGACCGCGCGGACGGATGGGAGAGGCAGAGGACGGAGGTGAATCAGGTGAGGCACGGCAGAGGCACGGGAGTGCGGCAGAACGGAGGTGAATCAGGTGAACGGAGACCTGCACTGGAGGAGCAGGTAGGCGGAAGGTATGTGGGAGAGCAGGAGTGGTCAGTCAAACCAGAAGGTAAGCTGGTATTGGAGGCGCCGAAAAGCAGGAAACGGCAAAGGCACGAAGTGAGATAGGTCGAGGCGCAAAAGACACTACTCGGGACGACCCCCCCCCCCCCCCGTAGACGCCCCCCAAGCCGCCCAGCCCTCAGCAGCGGCAGCTGCGATGACAAAGCACCCCGGCTTGAGACTTCGTGCTCATTACCTGACCAATGTGGACCCGCTGCGCCGACCACGGCTGAAGATGCCGTTTAGCTAGCCACTGCCAGGACATTTATAACCACCATTAAAACACTGTATACCACGAAGTCTACTCCTGTATCACTGGTAGCGTCGCACCCATCGGCACTGTATATCACGAAGTCTAGTCCTGTATCACTGGTGGCGTCGCACCCATCGGTACTGTATACCATGAAGTCTACTTCTGTATCACTGGTAGCGTCGCACCCATCGGTACTGTATACCATGAAGTCTACTCCTGTATCACTGGTGCCGTCGCACCCATCGGCACTGAATACCATAAAGCTTATTCCCATATCACCGATGACACCACACACATCGGCTTCTCTCGTGCATCTGGCGCGTGTCGTCCCGCTCCAGCACCACTGACCTGTCTGTGGGAGAGGGTGACGAACCCCTCCCACTCGGTGTCGCCTGACTCCGAGGTGGGCTCGAGCGCCGCAAGAAGCGAGTCGAAGCCGGCCCGGCGCAACCACTCCGCCTCCTCCTCACCCTCTGCAACAGCAGGCGCCGGCTAAAGACGGCGGCTACCGACGATGAGTGCAGACACCCGGTGTAGCACTGGGTGCGGACATCCCGGGTGCAGCAATGGGTGCAGGTACCGAGTGCAGCACCGGGTCCGGACACCGGGTGCAGCACTGAAGCAGACACTGGGAGTAGCACTGGGTGCGAACACCCTGGGTGCAGCACTGGGTACGCACACTCCGGGTGCAGCAATGGGTGCACATACCCCAGGCGCAGCACCGGGCGCGCACACCACTGGTAGGTCAGCGGACCATCGGCCATGCGTGGTGTTGGCGACATCCAGCAGGGCCAGCGTAGCAGTCTCCGGGGCAGTGACGGATTCGGTATAAAGTCGGTAGTCAAGGTGCGCTGCTCAGCGGTGCACGTAATGAAAGTGCATCAAATGACCACCAACCAGTGCTGCAGAACTGGCATGGAACACATATTTACGGGGACTTTTAGCCTGACTGCCACTAAGGTGCAGGTCACAGATGGACCAAGAAGGTTCATCCTATTCATCACTACGAATGGTCAGAGTCACACTGAAAGAGTCACGTTTTGACCCTTCGTCCTTTTTTTACTTTCGTTCAGTGAATACATTGCGAGCCAGTAGCAGCACCGATAGAGTCATACCGTACCGGTCAAACGCTGGGTTTTCTGAACCAGGCAGGTGTTGGCACGGTGCCAGCACCACGGTTAGAACAACGTAACAGTCTGTAATATAACGGCTTCCTCTTATTTGTCTTGTTTGGTTGGCTCACCGCGATTTTTGCTTAGACGACAAGGAACAGTGATGCTATTATCCAAGTATCATTCCTTACGGAGGCTGCTGTATTATGATTTGACTACAAAAACAAGCCTTTTCAATGACGACGCGTGTTTACGCTTTCAGGTGATATTCAACGCATAGTTATCTCTGGTGAGCTAAAATAGCTGAGCACCTGCAAAACTAGACCACTTGTTCCGGACAACGCTGTTGATGACTTGTTGCCTTTCCCCCATTTATATAGATGCATGCAAATGCCATCAGCGTTCTCATTCCCTGCTATCATACATGCAAACAACATAGATTCAAAGGCACCGCACGGCTTCGTAATTTGCATACATTCGCCATAGTCTTGTAATTCACTATTCCGGGCGCGCTTGCATTGTGATACACGTCACAGAGCCCCACGGCCGACTCATCGCAGACCGAGTGAGTGGCATAACATAGCGTTTTTCTAGTGAGAACCAAGGCGCCCACCGCGTCGCAGTCAGCCGTCACGAACAATGAGCCGTCCAGCGCGACCGGTGGGCTCCGTTCTCAATGTCACACTTCCGCCTGTGCGTGGGAAAGAATGCCCGTGCAGTCATCGGCTTCCGCACGCCGATATGCGGTGGTGAACCAGGGCGTTGTACAGCCAACTTGATATTGTTGTACCTCCCCGCGCCGTCTCGTCGCCGGGGAGGAGTCGCGATCCATGAGGCGGCTGGATTCACCCTACCACCTAGCCACACCTCTCGGCAGGGAGTAGCCGCAAGTCATGCGGCAGCTGGCTTCACCACCGCCCGGCAGGGGAAGCACGACTTACGTCCCACCCGACCGTGCTTGCCACCGGCGCCTGACAGGAGGAGCACTCCCCCGCGGAGGGCACTCCTCTGCAAACGCTAGCTGACCCAAATCCGGCGTGCTTTCCAACAGCCGCTGGCTGGACGAGCGCCGTGAAAAAGCCGCGGCTGGCCGGCCCGGCGTCGGCCAGCCGCCCGGGGAAAGCCAGCTCGCCGCCAGAGGAGGCTGGGAGCGGTCATCACAGGACGTGCCGGCTCCCGTGGCGCCTCGCTCTCGCCCCGGCGCGCCGTTTTCACGGATCAGCCAGGGGCCGAGCCGAGGCGGCGGGCGGCAGACTTCCGGACGGGGTGCGCTGGGAACCGCTCGGACGCGGCCCAGGTGTGATCGGCGCGGCGGGGCGCGCGAGCAGCGCCGGCAGGCCGCCAGCGCCAGGTGGCGAGACGAATCGCGCCCGAGCGCCGGAAATGTATCGCACTGACGCGACGGATCGTCGAGCACGCGCCGGTCCAATGCGCGCGCGGCCGGCCGGGCGACGACCATGCACAGCCGAGTGACGGTGTTCTCACGACGTGGGTTATTACTTTTCAGGCAGCTCAAGTTGCAAGCAAGTCGTGGTGCGAGCCAAAAAGCCGTCGCATGAGTGGCACAGAAGATTGCAGCAAACGGTTTTCTTGCCGCGAAATGACAGCCGCTCCAGGGGCCATTGAAGTAAAATCGCAGCGCCATTTGCTCCGGCCAACTTCACATGTTGCCAATGGCCAACGCGAGCCGTAGTCCAACTGACAAACGAAACTCAACACCACGCTGCGGACGGAGCCAGGGGTCGACGTGTCCGTGGGGTGCGTGTCAAGCGTGAACGAACAGCGGCCAGTCCGACTTTCCCCTCATTTGCATTGGTCGCGCGCTGTCTGAATGTTACCGGATGTCCTCGCTATTCCTGAGGACCTCAGCCACTCCTGAGGGCTTCCGTCAGCCCTCAGGGCTCCCGTCAGTCCTGAGGGCTCCCGTCAGTCCCGAGGGCTCCCGTCAGTCCCGAGGGCTCCCGTCAGTCCCGAGGGCTCCCGTCAGTCCTGAGGGCTCCCGTCAGTCCCGAGGGCTCCCGTCAGTCCTGAGGGCTCCCGTCAGTCCCGAGGGCTCCCGTCAGTCCTGAGGGCTCCCGTCAGCCCTGAGGGCTCCCGTCAGTCCTGAGGGCTCTCGTCAGTCCTGAGGGCTCCCGTCAGTCCTGAGGGCTCCCGTCAGTCCCGAACGCTCCCGTCAGTCCCGAACGCCCCCGTCAGTCCCGAGGGCTCCCGTCAGTCCTGAGGGCTCCCGTCAGTCCCGAGGGCTCCCGTTAGTCCTGAGGGCTCCCGTCAGTCCCGAGGGCTCCCGTCAGTCCTGAGGGCTCCCGTCAGCCCTGAGGGCTCCCGTCAGTCCTGAGGGCTCTCGTCAGTCCTGAGGGCTCCCGTCAGTCCTGAGGGCTCCCGTCAGTCCCGAACGCTCCCGTCAGTCCCGAACGCTCCCGTCAGTCCCGAGGGCTCCCGTCAGTCCCGAGGGCTCCCGTCAGTCCCGAGGGCTCCCGTCAGTCCTGAGGGCTCCCGTCAGTCCTGAGGGCTCCCGTCAGTCCCGAGGGCTCCCGTTAGTCCTGAGGGCTCCCGTCAGTCCTGAGGGCTCCCGTCAGTCCTGAGGGCTCCCGCCACTCCTGAGGGCTCCCGCCACTCCTGAGGGCTCCCGTCAGTCCTGAGCGCTCCCGCCTGCTGTCTGCAGCCTCTCAGCCAGTCGGTCGGTGAGCTGTTACTGAGGTCATCTGAATCAGTGGCATTCTATAGCCCAGGAGATCCTTCCTGTGGGAACGCCTCTCTACCCAAGAAACTCTTACTGCTCCGGAGTAACTCTCCATCCGGCAAAACGTGTCTGCCCGCGAAGCCTCATGGTCTGGGTGACTCCTGTCCGGGAGACTTCCTGCTTTCGGAGAGGCACAGCGGCCCTCTGGAAATCCTCTCTACCATGTGAGACATTCCCTTTTAGGAAGCTGCCACCTCTGCTCACAGATCTTGTGCATCTGGAAATACTCTCTGCCGTAAGCAAACCTTTGCGCCGCCTTTGACAGGTATGACCTCCGCCCCGGAACTCACCTCAACCAAAGGGAACTTCTCTGGCATGGGATCTTTCACGGCCCACGCGACTGTTTCTGCCTAGGAGACCCCCTCTTCCCTAGGCTTGTTTTTCCCCGGAGACTCGATTTGCGTGGGTGACACTGCCTGCCCTTGGCATCCCCTCTCTGACTGGGAGACCCCCCATGCCTTGGGAATGTGCTCTGACAGCAGGGGGAATCGCTTTGTCTGGGAGACAGTTTGTCTCGGAGATATCTTCTGGTCGGGACATCATCTGTCCGGGAGCTATGTTGTTCGCCAGCTAGCTCCGGCCAGTCGGAAGCCTGTGCGGCTGTAATTGATCTGGATTCCTGACGTGGCAATCGCCCAGCGCTCGGACGGGACAGGCCCACCTGGTATAATGAGCCAAATTGGGAGCCGCTGGCTCCGCTCCTGTGTCCGTGACCCCGGAGGCAGAGCGGTAACGACGGGTGGACGCTCGACCCCCTGGCGGCGCTGTGTAGCGGGTAACATGGCCCGCGTCCAGGCCCTCGTTCTCGACGGCCTCGGGCTCTGGCGATGGGTTAGCGCTCCACGATCAGAGGACCATTGTTACGACTCTGTGGACGATATCACATCGAGGGTGACAGTTTCCCATGATGCTATGCGTGAGGTCAAACACTCGCGCTACTCCCTGCGCGTCACGAGGCTGAGCACGCGCAGGAGCCAAACAACGCGTAGCGCACTGGACACGCTTTCGACCTATCCCTGCAGCTGCTGGCCTGGTGACCGTCGCAGCTATGCCGAACACGTCCGAGGGACGCCTACCAGGCGCTGTTGTTTTCCCAGCCCGGATGGACAGCGATCTGATTGGCGGCGTGTCCCAGATAGCGTGCTGCCGCCGAGTCAGACAGCGTGGAAAGTGGTGCACGACGCCTCTGATGGAGTCAGTGCTTCACTTTAACCGGATACAGATGCCCATCGGATGCATCGTGTCTCAGCCACGCAGGAAAACGCTTGAGAAAATTTGCCGTGTCGAAAACGACGGAACAGGGATCTTGAAATGAAAGTATCATAGTCGCGCTGACCACGAGCTCGTGTGGCCTGCGCCGGACCTGTCCTGTAACATTGTCCAGTGTCCACCAAGAATCGGCGACCACTCCCAAACACAGTTAAGCCATAGATCAACAGGCCAATAAAGACATCTCTGGAGACCGCAGCCACGTTGCATCTGCTGGAGAAAACGGATCACCTCTGGCCGTCCCCAGCCACCCTTTGACCTGACCATCGCACAGAAAGCACGGACCACAGAGAGGAGATCGTGCCACCCCACCGCCCAGGAGAGCTCCTTTTGGCGTGCACGGGTATCGCAG